CCCCCCCCCATGCAGTTCCACGAGGCCAAATCGCTTCCCAAGGAGGCCTCCAAGAAGCAAACATCGTTCAAACACCTGAAGGGCACAAATGGTGTTTGCCTTCTCGTCTTTTCGCTTCCGATGGACATCCGAGGCCTGACGATTGCTCCAAGAGGGCCCAGAAGGGCCCCAAGAGGGGCCCAGTAGAGCCCCAGAGCGGCCTCAAATGCGCCCAAGAACGCCCCAAGAGCGCCCCGAGGGAGGGTCCAGGTTGTATTTTCAGGGCTCCCGAGGGGGGGGCGAGCATTAGCGCTCCCATCTGTTTTGGCAGATCTCCTCCAAGATTGCCCCAATAGCGCCCCCGAAGCTCCCAAGAGCGCCCCGAGAGGGCCCCGCGATGGTCCCATGATGGCCCCAAGAAGCCTTCAAGAGGCCCCCAACCCAAGCGGCCTCAAGGGGCCTCCCCGAGGCACCCAGGACGCCCGCGAGTCCCGCAGGACGGCCAAGAGACCACCGAGACGTTCCAGGAGGTCTCCAAGAAACGCCCAAGAGATATTCCAAGAGGCTCCAAGAGGCATTCGAGAGACCTCCAAGAGACCCTAAGAGGCTTCAAGAGGATCACCGAGCCACCCAAGATCCCCCCCACCCCCAGACGCTCCAAGATATTTCCGAAACAACTCCGAAGAGGCATCATAAGAGGCTCTTACGTTCGTCGTGGTTCCTCATCATTCGCCTTGTCCTCGTCCTCCCATCGTCCTCATCCTCCTCCTCCGTATCCGCCAACTCCTCCTCCTCCTCCTCCTCATCCCCCTCCCCCTACTCCCTCCCCCTCTTCCCCCGCCCCCCACCCCTCGAGAACCAGCAATGCCAGCAGCAACATCAGCACCACTAGCAGCAGCAACATCAGCAGCACCAGCAGGAGCAAGAGCACCACCAGCAACATGTGCAACCTTCGCCACGCAAGATCTCCCAACTCACCTGTGTTGCCCGCTCTGCGTCACTATGTGCGTCTCGTCTTCCCTCCTTCCGCCAGCTTCCCAAGGCATCGTTTCTGGATGGTCTGATGGGGATACGCAAAGCGTCTTGAATTCGATGATGTCGAATCCAATGAGAGACAAATGATGAATGCGTCCGTGTTAACCATCAACAACTCTAGCGACCTGGCGTTGGCAAACTCGATGGGCATAGTTTTTCTCAATCCTTCGAACAGCAGCTTGGCGGTCGTGTTTTCCAAGAATAGGGGTGCACATATCCAGGGCTGCCACTCGATCTGCAAAAGGTGCTGGACGTCCGAGATCGACTCAAGGCGACCCCGCTGAACAAACGCTTGGAAAGCTGCGCCAAGGACGACCATCACATTGACAGTCTTCTGGCTCTGGCCGAGGTCGTGGCACAAGTTCCGCCGCAACAGGAGTGCCCGCGACGACTGCGAGGCCTCGTCCCACATGGCTGAAACCCCGCGAATGACGAAGAGGCGGGCGCCTGCAACCGCTGGCGGTGCCCTGGGAAGCCACATCTGCCATCCGCGCAACTGCCTGTCTAGACACAGCTTGCCCACGATGGCAACGGACTGATCTTGCAGACGGCGCACCCTCTCGATGGCCGCGCTTCCCCCACGAATTTTGGGCGAACACGCCAGCTGCATCATCGCCTTGAGCTTTGTCTCGGGTCGAGACGCAATCCGTCGAGCAGCTGCAGGGACAACGTATGCAGGCTGAGTCAAGGACGTGATCGCAAGCTGCTGCGTATCCTCCTCTGATAACGCCTTCTGTCTGGCTCGGAGATTCTGAATGCGTGTCTGTCGGCCTCGCTGCAGCGCGTCGAGGCGTTTCTCCTTGGCCGTTCTCTGCTCTCGTGCGTCCCCCATGGGGACGGCCATCGCAAGGGCGATGATGTCATCATCCATGCACTTTTTCAAAAAACTACAGTAACACGTGCATTGGCAAGGATGCTAGAAGCCAAACGGCTAGCAGGACGAGAGGGGGGCATAACGGGGGAAAGGAAGCACAGTGCAGGCAACGCAATGCAACGCAAAAGCAGGTAAAAGCCAACTTCTTGCGCTGCAGTGCAATGGCAGGGGGGCGCAACTTAGCCAATGCAACGCAATGGAACCTGGCGCAGGTCTTGGCGCGCATAAATGTAACGCAATGCAACCATATTGGCGTGCTACTTCAACACAGGACAACACAATGCAATGCAAATACAATACCAATGCAACGCATTCTGTATATACAACATGCTCCATCACGATACAGTTCAACGCAACCGTAGTAAAGCAAGAAACAAAAACTTATGATTCGGTTTCGGTTTTCATTTTCGACTTTCGATTTTCGCTCAGAGCCGCAACTTTTGATTTCGACCTGAGCCTCCGGGGATGGTCCACACAGAGCAGCCCCAGCGTGTCTCTAACGCCTAATGTTTGATTTGAAGAACGGATGTGTTTAATGTTTTTGGAATTGAACCATGGACTTAACTCCTACATTCAACTCTGTCGGGCCCAGGGTCCATGTCCGTTCTGCTGTGATGATCGATCTCTGCCCAACGCACGCACTCAAGCTAGGCAGACTCACTGCGCTGGCGATGGGGCGTCAGCGAGACGCACAGAACGCGAAGTGGGCCGCCATGCACGGGGGAGAGATGGAGACGCCCGGCGCGGGCGAGAGGGAGAAGGGAGGAGGGAGCCGGCTCCATGGAACCCATGGCCGGCACTCGGCGACACACACACACACTTTTTGCGTCGGCGGCTAGGCCGAGTGACTGCGATGGCGGATAAGGCATGTGTAGGGCGTACAGATGCGACACACACACACACACATCCACACACTGATGCGGACGGCGGTCCGTCCCAGCTCCGCGGCTGCCAGCGCCGCGCAGGCCGAGCCCCTGTGCCAGGGCGACCGCACCTCTCCGGACCCCCTCGCTGCAAGAGGCACGCACACACACGTCAGTAGCTAAGCAAGGAAAGTATTGCTTTGCACTCCGTTGCTCCACTTGGCATCGCTTTGCATTGCTTGGCGTCGCTTGGCTTTGCTTGGTGTCGCTTTTGCGTTGCTTTGCATGTTGTTTGGTATTGCTTCGCGTTTCGTTGCTTTGCTTTCCTTGGCGGTGTTTTGTATTGATTGGGAGTGTTTGGCATTGGCTGGTGTTGCCTGACGTTACTTGGCACTGCTTGGCATTGAAAAGCAGCGCCTGGTATTGCCTGGTATTGCTTGGCACTGCTTGGCATTGAATGGCACGGGTTGGTACTGCTTGGCATGGCTTGGACCTCTCTTGCATCGCGCGACCTTTGCTTTTGTCACTGGGAACGCCTGGCATTACTTGGCAAACGAACAAACCAACAACTCGGGCAATCTCGCAGGCCGAGAGGTTGACACCAACACCAAGATCGGCGGTGTGCCTCCACCGAGGGAAGAAGATCCCGATCTCGGTGATGGTGGTAATAGTCTGGCTTCCAAGGTGACCGAAATAGTACCACCAGCACCGAAGTCTGGGATCATCTTACCCTGGTGGAGGCAGCCCCCTGTGTTGGTGTTGGTGCCCATTTCCAGGCCTCCGACAATCTCGGGCAACCTCGGGCAACAGGGGCATCCGGGGCCACCAGCACACCAAAAGGAGAGGGCAGGGCCACCGAGCAACCCGAGAGAGAGGCCGGGCAGCGGGGGGGAGCCCGAGGGGCACCGGGCAGCCCGAGGAACGCTGGCCGGCGCAGGCCTCGCACCCGCTGGGCTCTCCAGAGACAACAGGGGGCAAACAAACCTGCCTCCCTTTTGACCACCCTCGCTTCCAAGAGATACCAAGCGATGCCAAACTGCGGCCTGTACTGGTCAGGCCGCTTGACCAGGAGGCGCGTGGCATGACTTGGTTTTGCCTGGGAGCGAAAGCGGGGTAGGTAATTCACGCTGTGAGGCAAGGGAGCTGATCCGAGTCAGCCCTAAGAGGACAATGAGTTTTGTCTGCAGGGGCGGGGGTCTGAGGCGACGGGCACTCTTCCGTGACCAAGCGGGGTCTTCGGCGACTCCGTGGAGGTATTCCGTATCCCCCCGCTGGGGCTGCCTGTGTCCCGGTGGCTTTCGTGTGTCAGGTTGTTCGCATGCAAGGTGCATGACGACGTAAGACGGCCCGTATGTTGTTTCTGAAACCAATTTTGTAACGGCACCAAGCAACCCACATACACCACAAGCGGGTGGGTGAATCCCGCAAGGGGTAAAAGGAACGAATCAGTTTGAATATGGCAGATGGCACGATGCCAGACAAGCGAAATTTGGCGCTAGCCGCCCGTCGGGAACGTCCGACGCATCAGAGGGAAGAGAGAGGGGGGAGGAGGAGACGAAGAAGACGGTGGAGGAGGAGAAAAGGAGGGAGCCCAAGCGACAACCGCGGAATACCCTAATTACAGTCTGCACGCCGAGCACAGGAAATTTGAGCCGCTTCAGGCAACAATCTACGGACAGCAATCTCTGACATCTACAAGTAAACTGTAACTTAAAACTCATACGTGCGTAGACCTGCATCCACGGCCAGTGCCGGAGGAGGTACCCGCATAGAGGGCCCACACGAGCGGAAAGCATCGGAGCTGGAGCAAAGCCTCGTGCCTAGGCACAGGAGCTGCGCCAAGTGTGCAAGCGAACGAGGCGACAGGCAGGTCGAGACCTCAAATCTGCTCCAATACAGTGGGGCGCTCCGTCGCCGTCGTGGTCGCCAGCGCCGACATCGTCGTCATCGCCGCCGCCGCCGCCCTCGTCGTCGTCGTCGCCGCCGCCTCCGTCGTCGTCGTTGTCGTCGCCGCCGTCGTCGTCGTCGTCGTAGTCGTCGTCGTCGTCGTCGACTTCGCCGTCGTTGTCGTCGCCGCCGTCGTCGTCGTCGCCGTCGTCGTCGCCGTCGTCGTCGTCGTCGTCGCCGTCGTCGTCGTCGTCGCCGCCGCCGCCGCCGTCGGCGGCGGCGGCGGCGCTGCCGGCAGGACGCCCGGCGTCGGCGCCGTCGTCGCCGCTCGGCGCGCGGGGCTGGGCGCGGGGCGCCGCCGCCTCGCGCCAGGCCACGAAGAGCTCGGCGACGCCGCGCAGGTCCTCGTCGAGGTCCTGCGCGCGCGGGCGCCGCGGGCTCGGGTACAACGACGCGAAGATCGGGACAAAATCGGATCGGGATCACTCGAAATCTCTGAGAATCGGCGGGTTTGGAGGATGTATTGGGCGCCGCGGCCGCTCCAGAGCGTTCCGGAACGCTCTGAGAGCGCTCCGGAACGCTCTGGAGCGGTTTGTCCCGATCCTAGCCCTGTTCTATCGGGCGGCATTGGGGGGCCTCTCACGGAGCGGCAGCGCGGCGCGCTCGGGCCGCGCGCCGAAGGGGCGGCGTCGAGCGCCGCGAGGCGGCAGGCAGGTCCGCACCCCCAGGCCCCCTCGGGCGATGAACAAAATCATGGCGGGAGGCCTTTCGCTATCTTGGGCCTCGAAGGGCCCTTACCGGCCCTCGGGACCGTCCAAGAACGACTCGGGAGGAAAAACGGGTCCCAGGGAATGGGTCGAGACCTCTCAGGGGTCGACGCTGTGAAAAAAGTCATGGCGTCGAAGGCCTGGGCCTGGAGGCCTCCTCGATGGGCGCCGAGCGGCCCCACCACTGGCTGCCGGCACGGCGCGGAGCGGTCGCCCCGGAACGAGCGGCGGAGCTTCGATGGCCAGATCGTTCCACGTTGGGGGATTCTGGACCACCCTCGTTACCAGCCTCGAACGTACCCCTATCCCTCAGATTGACACGCCAAAAGGCGGTGACAATCTCAGGGGTTTCGCCCTCAAAAATACGGGAATCCCTAAGATTGGCATCGTGATGAGGAGGTGCCCAGCACAGGGATAGGGGTATATGTTCCAGGCTGGTAACCTCGGCGTTCAACCTTGAACGCCCGCGGAGGGGTCGCTTCCACGTCGGCGCGACGCGAGCCTGCCGCAGCCGGGGTCGGAGGATCGCGCCGCATCGCCGACGCATCGGCCACGTCGGCGATGCATTGGCGCCGTCGGAGTGCAGAAGATTGGGCCCAACATCGAGCCGCATCGCCGATGCATCGGTGATGCAGCACGATCCTCCGACCCCATCAGCTCCGACCCCATCCAGGAGGCCTACAGTGGAGGCCCGACCACAAGAGACCTTCCATTAGAAGCCCAACCCTGAGACCCCAGGACGCCCATCGATGTTTTTGGTGTGGGAACGCCACGCCTTCCACAGCAAGGCCATCGAAACCGAAGAAACCCAGGGCACCCTGGAGGCAAGCAGGGTGTTTCTTGGCATGGGCCTCCACTGCAGGATGACCAGGGTTTGCCGGTATATCACTTCTGCCAATCGCGGCAGCGGCGCAGCATGAGAGCGCAGGAGGGTCGGGAGGGGGAGTGGAGGGGGCGGGTGAGGGAGGGGAAAAGAAAGAGGGGAGACAAAAACAGAGGGGGGGAATCTAGGGGGAAAACAAACCTACCTCGCTTTTGACCACCCTCGCTTCCAAGAGATACCAAACGATGCCAAATTGCAGCCTGTACTGGTCAGGCCGCTTGACGAGGAGGCGCGTGGTATGGCTTGGTTTTGCCAGGAAGCGAAAGCGGGGTAGGTAATTCACGCTCTGAGAATCGGAATGGAGTAGCCGCGCCCTCGCGGTCTGGATTCCGAGGCCGCATTCCTGCGGGTACGCGGTCGCGCGGACGCTGCGGCGGGGCGCCCCGTGTCCACGGGGCCGCGGCCCCCGTGCGCCTGGCCCGCGAGGCCGCGGGTACGGAATGTCATGCGCTGACGAAGTGCTGGGCAAGTGCTGGTGCTGACGGGCCTGTTTTCCACCACCACCACCAGAGGTTGGAGGGGGAAGGAGGTAGAGGATGAGGAGGAGGAGGAGGAGGAGGAGGAGGAGGAGGAGGAAGACGAGGAGAAAGAGGCGGAGGAGGAGGAGGAGGACCCCCTCCCCCTCGTACTTCTGGTGGTGGTGGCGGAAAACAAGCCCACCAGGTGCTGTTCCTCGTCACGCTCTTCCTGCCCCCGTCTCGTTGCTCAGGGAGCCGATAGGTCGGCGATGGGCAGCCGATGGCGGGGCCCCAGGCGTTCCGCGCGGGGCATCCGTGACAAAAACACGCCCCGTGCCCAGCGGGGTCGCGCCCCATGAGCCCGACCCGCAGGGCCGTGGATACGGCTAGGCTACTCGCCCAACACAGGGGCTATGTCGACCCCCATCCCAGGCTTCGTTGGGCTCCGCCCAGCCCTGGGAGTATACAGCGGGGCGGCGCCCATCCTCGATGGAGGTGCGTCCGAATAGCCCCCCTGGGATGTATCCCAGGGTTTCCCCCTTTTTCTGAGCGGCAGAACTTTCCGGGCGGAACCTGGGAAAAGAAAGAAAAAATCGCCTGCGATCGCCCAGTCGCCCACGCCAAACTACACGGTACGAGTGCCTGGCGGACCAGTGCGTAACACGCCTGGCCACGCCGAGGAGGCCGCCCCATCGGAGAACGCCCGCGCCAAGCAGTGGGTGCCTGGCCAAGACAGCACCGAATGAATCGGGCGCGCCTGGGCGAGCAGCCAAGCGCTCTCGGAGGGCCGCCCGCCAATCGGCCTCGGCGCCCCCGGCTCGCCCCGCCTGGACCAGCAGCGGCCCGGCCACCCGCGGGGGCAGCACGGGGGGCCACCCAGCGCAAGGGCGGCTCGCCAGGCGCCGCCACGTGGGGGCCCAGCAGCCGCACCGGGCGCAGGCAACCCGGCTACAGGCCCCTGGGAAGCCACGTGGGGCCGCCATGCCGCGCCCTCGGAGAGCGCCTGTGCCGCGGCTGCCGGCGCCGGCCGCGGGGGCAAGCCCTGCGGCTGCTGGCCCGGCCGCGCCCGCTGGGCCAGCGCGGCCGCCACAGCTGCGACATCCGCCTCGCGCGGCGCACGCCGCCGCTGGCCGCCGGCCGCGGCCCACCGCCGGCGAACGCGCGGCCCATCCCGGCCCCGCCCACCCAGCACACGGGGCACGGGGGAGGAGGAGGGAGGGAGGAGCGAGGGGGAGGAGGAGGAGAGGAGGAGGAGGAGGAGGAGGAGGAGGAGGAGGAGGAGGAGGAGGAGGAGGAGGAGGAGGAGGAGGAGGAGGAGGAGGGGAGGAGGGAGGAGGGAGGCGGGAGGAGGGAAGAGGGAGGAGGCGGAGGAAGAGGAGGACACGGGGCCCAGGCACCTCCTCCCCCCACCTACAGGGCAGTTGTTAATACATTGGATGTTTGAAAATATATGATTCGAATACATGATTAATTCATGAAACATTCAATGCGTGAACTCATCGTTGTTTTTTATACTAAATCCCTGCATTTATAATACATGATCCGCACGCGGAGCATGTATTAAAAACGGCACTGTACGATCGTTACCCTTACAGTGGAGGCCCCATCACAAGAAGCCTTCCCGAACCTCGGCGGCGCGCCCGCAGGGGTGGAGGAGGAGGAGGAGGAGGAGGAGGAGGAGGAGGAGCAGGAGCAGGAGGAGGAGGAGGAGGAGGAGGAGGGGGAGGAGGAGGAGGAGGAGGAGGAGGAGGAGGAGGAGGAGGAGGGAGGAGGAGGCGGATGAGGAGGAGGAGGAGGAGAAGGAGGAGGAGGAGGAGGCGGAGGAGGAGGAGGAGGAGGAGGGGAAGCGAGAAAACGGGGGCGGCAAGCCCCTGGCCCTCTGAGAAGTTTCCTGCAGTAGGGGCCCGACCACAAGAAACCTTCCACAAGAAGCCCAACCCTGAGGCCCCGGGACGTCCATTGATTTCTGGTGCGGGAACGTCACGCCTTCCACAGCAAAACCATCGAAACCAAAGAAACCCAGGGCAGCCTGGAGGCAAGCAGGGTGAGTCTTGGCAGGGGTCTCCACTGTATCCCCGGGGGGGCGGGTAACGACCGTTACGCGCCAGAGGATAAACAACTACTATGGTTGGCCCTTGCTGGAACGACGCTTACAGACGCCGGCCGGCGCTAAACGACGCGAATCGACGCGGACCGACGCGAATCGGCGCCAAGTCGTGGCTAAATCTAGGTCGGGCATGTCCCCCTACATGCGGTTTTTGGACGAAAAATGAAAAATACCCCAAGAATGCTCAAAAATCATCAAAAATAGTCCAAAAATAGTCCCCCGACTATTTTTTGATGCTCTTTGAAAATTCCTCCTGTAGAGGGACAGGCCCGACTTAAAGTTAAATCCACGCTTTCTCATCGATTGCCAAACGCCAGCGTACGGCAACGCACTCTAGAGACTGACTGTCGAGGACGCACCGGGCGCAAACGAGATGTCACCGACTCCTCCTGGGGAAGCCACTCCTGGGAGGTTCTGCAAGACCGAGAGAGGCCGGATAGGCCAGATGCAAGGGCCACTGACACGAACAGGCTAGATTACAGTCGGACTCGATTGTCCGAGGGCCGCACTGCCATAGGAATGTGGGAGGCATTGGTCGCGAGACACAGGACACAAGGGTACCCTTGATTTGGCAGGGTCGACCTACTAATCAGGGCCGACTGTAGGCCCAAGATTTGTTTGTTTGACAGGGACGCCTCCGCATGGCGCATGATTAGTCTTGTCGGTAGCGGGGGGCTGAACCCACGGCGACGTTGGCTCGCGGAACATCTGAGAAAAAAACGCGTGGCCTAAGGAAGAGTGACGGGACCCATCTGACAATCAAACACGGCGACGTTGGCTCGCGGAACATCAGAGGAAAAAAATCGCATGGCCTCAGATCCCGTTCGGGAATATGAGATGGCGACGCCATCTGTAACAATGACTCGCATGTGAATTTCCATAAGCATCGTGCCGCGCTGGTCAAACCTGAGCCGCAGAGCTCAGTATCCGAAGGCCTGCACCGTCCGGTCGTAGCAGGCCACAAAGTCCTCCACCTTCATCAGCGGATGGTACGCCGCCATTTTCTTCTCCGTGCACTCGGGCCTCCACTTTTTGTTCTTCTTCTGGTCGTCGGGACGATCGGCCTCGCAGGCTCCATCCAGCACGGTCTCGAAAGCCCCGCCCCTGCGCACGCCCACGGAGTCCAGGCAGACCTGTGCGGAGAGATCACCCCCCCTCGGCCCGTGCGTCCTGCCATCCACCCCCAAACATGCGACGCTCTGATTTTTTCAGGACGGCGTCCCTGGAAGCCCCGACCGTCCCCTGGACCGGTTTTTCGTCCGGAATCGTTTTCTGACGGTCCTGGGGCCCGGCGAGGGCCACCAGGGGCCGAAAATAACAAAACCTCCCGTCCTGATTTCTTTACGACGTCATCATGTCTGGGCCCCCGTCTTCAGGAGAAGCAGAAACGGCAGAAGCATAAACTCGGCGGTGGACAAACCTCCCTTTGGCAAACCTCCCCTTAGTGAAAACGGCCTAGGACCGAAACCGACGGACCTGGACCAGCAAAAATGACGGCCGCGACGCCCTCTCGCGAACCGAAAACGGCCTATTCACTCATCGACGTGTCAGGGCAGGAGGTCTCTCAACCTCCGACAAACTGTTGGCGCTCCGCGCGGGCTCCTTGGCTCCGCGCCGAGGCCCCCCCTCCCTGGCGCGCGGAGCGCGGAGTGCGGGCGGCGAGGCGCCGCCGGGGGGGGGGGGGGCCAGCGCGGATCCGAGAAGCCCGCGCGGAGCGCCAAAAGTTTGTGTTAAGGGGGATCTTCGACAAAAAAATTAGCATTACCAAAAATACTCAAATATGATCAACAAAAATACAAGAAAAATCCGCCGGCCCCCGTGCGGGGCCACCAGGCTGTAGGCCGGGAATGTGCTGCTCCCTGTACCAGTTGCAGCTTCCAGTTTCCACTGTTACAGTTCTGCTTCTTGCTGTATACTTTTCCTTGTTGATGAACGCGCGAGGGGGGGGAGCCCAAACCAGCAGAACTACCACGCGCTGGGAGGGTTCTCACAATTGTTGGGGGGTAGAAATTAACACCTCTCACGCAGATCAGCAGGGTCAGGGTCCAAAAACACGAAGGATTTGCCACATGTTTCAACTTCAGTGGCACCCCTCACGCAGATCGGCGGGGTCAGGGTCCAAAACCACATGGGATTTGCCACATTTCTGAAATTCAGTGACACCCCTCATGCAGATCGGCGGGGCCAGGGTCCAAAAACACAAAGGATGTGCAACATTTCCAAAAATTCGGTACCACCCCTCAGGCAAATCGACGGGGCCAGGGTCCAAAAACAAAAAGGGTGTGTCACATTTGTGGAATCCGGTGGCACCCCTCACGCAGATCGGCGGGGTCAGGGTCCAAATGCACAAGGAATTTGCCACATGTTTCAAATTCGGTGGCACCCCTCACGCAGATCGGCGGGGTCAGGGTCCAAAAAACATAAGGAATGTGCTACAATTCTGAAATCTGGTGGCACCCCTGACACAGATCGGCGGGGTCAGGGTCCAAAAGCACAAGGGATGTGCCAAATTTCTTGAAATTCGGTGGCACCCCTCACCAAATCGGCGGGGCCAGGGTTCAAAAACCCAAGGGATTTGCAACATTTCTGAAATTCGGTGGCACCCCTCACGCAGATCGGCGGGGTCAGGGTCCACAAACACATGGGATTTGCCACATTCCTGAAATTCCGTGGCACACCTCAGGCAGATCGGCGGGGTCAGGGTCCAAAAACACATGAAATTCAGTGGCACCCCTCACGCAGATCGGCGGGGCCAGGGTACAGAATCAAAAGGGATGTGCTACATGTCTGAAATTCGGTGGCACCCCTCACGCAAATCGGCGGGGCCAAGGTCCAAAAACACATGGGATTTGCCACATTCCTGAAATTCGGTGGCACCCCTCACGCAACTCGGCGGGGCCAGGGTCCAAAAACACAAGGGATTTGCCAAACTTCTAAAATTCGGTGGCACACCTCACGCAAATCGGCCGGGCCAGGGTTCAAAATCAACGGGATGTGCCACATATTTGAGATTCGGTGGCACCCCTTACGCAGATCCGCAGTGCAGGGCCAATAAAAACAATAGCATTTGCAACATTTCTGAAATTCGGTGGCCCCCCTCACGCAGATCGGCGGCACTGCTTCACGGCGGCGCCCAGACCTCATGATTTAGCTTTTGCATCTCCCATTATCCGAGACAGGGGGCCGGCGGCATGGGGCGAAGCCCTTACGGATAATCCCCAGAGTATTGTTTGACTATTTTGCATATTCCTCCTGTAAAGGGACAGGCCCGACGTAAAGTTCGTGTGTGTTCTAGCGTTCGCTCTTCTTCGAAAATCACCCCCCCCGCCCCCTGTCACACCCGCCCGACCTGTGCGAAGAGGTCCTCCCCCATCGGCCCGTACTTCCCGCCCTCCACCCCCGTCTTCCAGTCCAGGGTCTTCTTGCACCAGTCGATGTGCGCAAAGAGCGTGTCGGCGGCCGTGAGCGACATGATCTCCAGGTTCCCGAACCTCGCCGGCGCGCCCGCGGGTGGGGGGAGGAGGAGGAGGGGGGGGAGGGGGAGGAGGGGGGGGGGGAGGAGGGGGGAGGAGGAGGAGGGAGGAGGAGGAGGAGGAGGAGGAGGAGGAGGAGGAGGAGGAGGAGGAGGAAGGAGGAGGGAGGGGAGGAGGAGGAGGCGGAGGAGGAGGAGGGGAAGCGAGAAAAGGGGGGCGGGTGTTCCCAGAAGGCGCGGCAAGCCCCTGGCCCTCTGAGAAGTTTCCTGCAGTAGGGGCCCGACCACAAGGAACCTTCCACAAGAAACCCAACCCTGAGATCCTGGGACGTCCATTGATTTGTTGGTGTGCGAGCGTCACGCCCTCCACAGCAAAACCACGAAACCCAAGAAACACAGGGCACCCCAGAGGCAAGCAGAGTGCTTCTTGGCATGGATCTCCACTGTAAGCCTTCCCCGAAGAGACACAAAGAAAACCCTCTCGGAAAGGCGCGAGGGGCTTCTGGAAAGCCCCGCCGCCCCCTGAGACTTCCTCCTCCTCCTCCTCCTCCTCCTCCTCCTCCCTCCTCCTCCTCCTCCTCCTCCTCCTCCTCCTCCTCCTCCTCCTCCTCCTCCTCCTCCTCCTCCTCCTCCTCCTCCTCCTCCTCCTCCTCCTCCTCCTCCTCCTCCTCCTCCCTTCCCCCCCTCGCCGGCCGCCGAGAACCAGCCCCACTTCACGAACTTGCAGTTCTCGAGGTAGATGCCGGGGACGCCGTGCAGAGGGTTGGGCACGCCCTGGGCGGCGAGGAAGGGCCTCAGGCGGCTGGGCAGGAACACGGCGTCGCAGTCCACCTTCACGACCCAGTCGGCGCTCCGGTACTCTCCGGCCGCCAGGACCGCCTTCCAGACCTGAGCGGCGCTGGAGGAGGAGGGGGGGGAGAGGAGGAGGAACACGGGCCTCACGCGAGGCGGCGCGGCGACCCTACGCCGCAGCTCACGCGGGCCGCCAGCGCGGCACGCCACGCTGGAGGCGAGGGCGCTCATCGCGCGGCCTTGCGCGGGCCGCTTGCGCGCCTGCGTCGGAGAGGGCAAGCCCGTTTCCCTGAGTCGCTCGCCTGGGTGTGCAGGCCAGTGTTGACCCAGGAGGCAGTCTCCTTGCGCTTCAGGATGTGGAAGTCGCCGTCCACGTCGTCCACGGCCACGAAGGGAACGCCGGGTTTCAGGTCGCCAGCCGCGTCGCTGAAGATGCCCCACTTCTCACAGGCGAAGATGCCCATGCTCCTGTCGTGGGACGCCCTCAGCAAGCCCAGCTCGTCCGGGCGCGGGACGCTGCCATCGCTGCCAGTGTCCGACATGTAGACCGAGAAGCAGTACATCGCACTCCCGGTCGCAACGGCATCGTCCAGATACATGGACTCGCGGGCCTTTGGCACGGGAACCGCGCACGCATAGCCGTCGCTCTTGGAGCAGTTCTTCAGGCACTTGGCCTGGCCGGGCGTGTCCGTCACGAAGCAGGTGTAGCCGGCAACGTCGCAGCACGCGGCCTCGAAGCAGTCGTCCGTGGTCGCCGCGCAGTCCTCGCGCCGCGGCTTCGCCAGCACCTGGGACGCACAAAGACACACCAGCACTGCATTCGTGAAGGGGCCCCAGGACACACAAATAAATACACACAAATAAAAATATTCACCATATTTTCCTATATTTTCTTGGTTTTTGTCTTCCCCCCCACTTCCCATATCTTCCCATATTTTCTGGGAAATCGACGATTAATTGTGTCTGTGTGTTTTTTCCTCTCCTGAATTCGGGGATGGACAGACCTCCCTTTGGCAAAACGTGGCTTAGTGCAAACGACCCGAGGCCCAAACCTGGCGGGCGCAAGCCTGGAAAACCACGGCCGCGGCGCCCTCTCGAGAACCGAGAACTGGACAATTCACGAATCGACGTGTCACTGCTGGGGGTTCTGTCCACCCCCGATGCATGTTGCCCTGGGAGGCGCGCGTCCGACCCGACCGTGTAACATACCCATCCTGTAGCATTTATCGTTTCCCGAGCGGTACGGCCAGCAAGCACCCGCCACGACGAGTACACCGCAGAACTCCTCGGAGCGCCCGCCGCCCCCGGGAGGGGCAGCGCACACACACACACACAGTGTGTGAGTGTTAGGGCGGGCATGTCCTCCTGCAGGCGGATGATGTCGCAGGAAAAATAAAAAAATGTCAAACATACTCCAATATGCTCAGAAACGGTCCAAGCATCGTCCTCTGACTACTGTTTTGTAACTCCTTTTGAACTCTCCTCCTGTAGAGGGACAGGCCCGACTTGACAGCAGTGCTGGGGCGCCGCCGAGCACGGCAACACATGGCATGGAACAAGACAAGGCCTTCTTTAAAAAAAACTGATGTCTTCACGCAAGGTGTCCGCGAGGCCCGCGGCCGGGCATGCCGTCCTGGCTTGTGCCGGGGTGCCGCCGAGCACCTGCAGCAGGCCGACGTCGCGCTCCACCCCGGGCAGGCGGGCGTCGAGGAGGCGCCGAGCCACGAAGCCGCCGCCGGCGCAGGCGAGGCAGGCCACGGCGGCGCCGCCCAGGGCCCGGCGGGCGCTCCACGCGGGCGCCGCCTCGGGCAGCGCGTCGCTGCCGCAGCTGAGCTCCGCGTCCCGCGCGTCGGGGTGCGCCGCCATGGCCGTCTTTCGACGAGCGCGTTCCACTACTCGCAGGGTGGCTACTCGCAAATGGCCTGGCTTTGCCGGTGGGGATCTGCGGGAAATTGCATCGAAGCCGACATGTGCCTTTTCGGACGTCTGCGAGTAGGCACTCTGCGAGTACTGGAGTGCGCTCGGTGATTAGAGGAACACAGAAGACTGCACAAGCGTAAACTTGTGGCGGTCCTCGCGTTTTCTTGGAACTGCGCCCCCCTCCCCCTGCGCGCAGAGCGCGACGAGGGGGCCCAGCGCAGATCCAAGGAATCCACGCAGACCGCCAAAAGTGTATGTTTATTAGTTCTTTGTTCTTCGATATATGGCTGCGAGCGGTGCGGGCTGTCTGCGGAGGCCAGGCAAGTGTCCCTGAGTCGAGACGGCTTAGGCCAAAATGGCTGCGGATAAGTCGGATGAGGCGGGATGGTACAGGGGGGCTTTGGACGGAAAATCAAAAATACTCAAACGATCTTCAAACATATGCAAAACATGCAACAAAAAATCGTCCCCCGACTATTATGTTGACTATTGTTTGATATTCCCCCTGTAGAGGGACAGGCCCGACTTAAGATTAGGCCCAAGACTACAGTCAAAAACCCTAATAAGGACGCGCGGTAAGGCCGCAAGACCCTTGGAAGCCGAAGTTGGGATTTCTGGGGCGGCGGACGACGAAAACCTCAAGGACGCAAGAGCAAGGAAGAGCAAGGACGCAAGGGTACCCTGAGCAAAGTCGCGCGTCCTTATTAGGGCTTTTGACTGTAAGCTGGATGAGTCAGCGAACGAAAAACGGTATAAAATAAACTTTTTCGCTGTCGGGGGCGCCTGTCCCAGGGCCGCTGGAAAGTTTATACCTCTACGGTGCCACCGTAAGGGTATAAACTTCCCAGCCGCCCTGGGACAGGCGCCCCCGACAGCGAAACAGTTATGTTATACCGTTTTTCGCCCGCTAAATGAGGCGGGGTGAACCAGGATGAAACCAGAGATTGGACACGGATACGCCAGCGCCGATGGCAGAGCGACTCGCACCCCAGCTAGAGGAAAGAGAACTATGCACATGCACCGATTCTGGCCAGGCCCAACCCTCATCCCAGGATCGGTGCATACGCCCTCCTGCCTTGGCCACGAAGGCATATGCACCGATCCTGGGGCCAGGGATGGGCCTGGCCAGGACCGGTGCATGTGCACAGTCCTCTTCGCCCGACCAACACCCCGCAGTCGCTCGGACGCCCGTTCCCCGTGCCCTGTGCGGCCTCAGCGCGTGCTGCTGCTGCTGCTGCACCAGTGATCCAGGATGCTCCTCGATGGTCCCCGCCGAGAACCATGGTACGCACGTCTGGTTCCTCGATGTTCCTCGATGGTCCTCGATGCTCTTCGATGGTCCTCGATGGTCCTCGATGTTCCTCGATGGTCCTCGATGCTACACACGTCCGAGCGATGCCAAGACACACGAGATGAGCACAGCGGGCAGCAGGCACCGGTCGCCGACGACCCGGAGCGGAGCCCCGCTGTGCCGTGCAGCGCCCTGGGAAAAGCTGCGCGGCGCGGCTCGCGCAGTCAGCCCTGCGACGTCTGCCACGTCGCCGCCGGCGCGGCGACGAGCCCCGCCAAGAGAAGGACGGACCCGCGCACATGCGGCGCCTCGGCGAGCATCGTGACAGGCAGCTTCGTTGTCACTCTGAGCCTCTGGAGAGGCCGGCCTCGGCCTACGGCCCGCGCCAGAAGGCATGCCCTGGGGCAGGGGTCGAGGAGGCCCAGGGTCTCACGCATCGACTGGATCGGAGCGCCAGGTGTCTGCGGAGCTCGGGCGAACGAGCGTGCGCACCGCACGGTGGTGGGGAAGGCCAGCAGACGCCGATGCCTCTACTCTCTGGACCTCTCCCTGGGCTGCGTTCTGACCAGAACTTCTGGGCGAATCCAACCGCGGCGACGAAGGTCTCCCGGGAGGCACCAAAAAGGCGGGAAACGTAGTAGTGGTATGGGCACCTTGTCCTCCTCTGAGTGTGCACAGCACGTTCGTCTCGTGCCGCCTTAGGCATTGATTTCTGACACAGCGGGGAGCGTTCAACCTCGAGCGCTCGGCCGTTTGCGAAACGACAGGGTGTTCAACATCGATCAGTTCTAGGTCGCCGACGGCGTTCGACGTGGAACGCCGTCGGCGGGGTCGCCGCCGGCCGACACGACTAGCGCACGCGAAGAGAACACGGAAGCAGGGCAGGACTGGGCCGTCGCGCCGCGCTCACAGCCGAGCCCGCGCCGCTGCTGCACCGGCCTCCGGCCTCTGGCCCGCAAGGCCACACTCGGAGCAGATGATGACCTGCACGAAGAGGTCAGCCTCGAGCTGATCTCTACCCCTAAGACTGACAAGCCCAAAGGCGATGACAAACTCAGGGGCCCTTGGGGCCCTCTGGGCCTTCGTGAAGGGTGCTCTGGAGGCCATCTGGGCCTCCCTGGGAATCCTGGAGGCACATTGGGCCAGGGACACTTCTGGCAACAACCGATCCTTAGTGGTTGGCAGCGCTGGCCCAATCGACACTGCTTTGCCAAGACCTTTGATGATGGCCCAGAGGAGCAGACAGGATACCAAGGCCGCTGCCGTCGACCTGGCGACGCGAACGACACGGCACCTCAGAGACGCCGTACCTGCTGGTGGTTACCGCTCCGAGTCAGACACGCTTTCCGGAATGACGAGCGTTGCTCCCTCTGAGGCTGAGGGAGCCCTTGAGATCACCAACGGGACAAAATGATGCCATCCATGGGGATGGGATTATGGCCGGACCTAAGACAGAATAACGTCCTTCAAGAATAATGAGCGTTGCTCCCTCTGAGACTGAGGGAACCCTTGAGATCACCATCGGGACAAAATGATACCAACCATGGGGATGGGAGTGTGGCCGGACCTAAGACAGAAGAACGTCCTTCAAAAACATGAGGCCCTCCGCCGGACAAGCTGACTAAAGGGGCCCTGGGACACACACACACACACACACACACACACACACATATATATATATATATATACACAAATAACAGGATTCCCCATATGTTCCATATTTTCTGGGTTTCTGTCGCCCCCCCCCCACCACTTCCCATATTTTCTGGGGAATCGAGGATGAATTGTGCCTGTGTGTGTTTTTCCCTCCTGAACAAAAACATCCAACAGACACGAAGAACATGAGGGTACCCTCCTCGAACCGACCTCGATCTTCTACATGGGTCCGACCGCACCCGTCAGTCGGAAGAAGCAGGTAGGGACGTGAAGAAGGAAGACGTTGGAAGTAGATTGGGCTCCCGCCCGCCCCTTTCAGAGGAGGGAGGAAGGACAACCACTCGAGCACTGAAAGCAGGAAGGAGCCTGAAGTAGATTGGCATCTGGGCATCCAGAAACACCTACTTCCGACGACCAGCGTGCACATCGGCGGTGGACAAGTCTCCCTTTAGTAAACCTCCCCTCAGTGAAAACGGCCTGGGACCGAAACCGACGCGCCTGGACCCACACAAATGACGGCCGCGACGCCCTCTCGCGAACCGCAGACGGCCCATTCCTGAATCGACGTGTCAGGGTAGGAGGTCTCTCAACCTCCGAGCACATTACCTTCAGGCCGCGGGAAGCGAGGCCTGGAGCCCCTGGGGGGGGCCCTCCGCGGGCGCCGAGGCCGGGGAGCAAGGCTGCTCAGGATCGGCGGCGGGCCAATGGGGGGGGGGAAGCGAGCAGGAGAGGGCCTGCTCAGAAGGCGGCCGGGCTTGTCAGAGGCCCGCGCGCCTCCTTTCGGGGAGACGTAAGACTCGGGTACGGGGGACGCGGGTTGGCCTGACGGGGTCCATCATAAAAATGACGAGACGCATTCTGAGATTTGACGCGAGCTCCCACTGCAAACATCCCACGAAAACTAGGCCGTCAAAATCCAGGACGCGCTCGTCAAAGAACGTCGGCAAACCCGAGTTCCGGCTTACCCGAGTCTTACGTTCCCCCGATCCTTGCGAGGCGAGGATTTCTCCACATCCACCGCCCGGGATCCGACGTCCTGGTGCCCCAGCGAAGCGGTGGATGTGGATATATCTTGGCCTTCTGGGGGCCCGAAAATATCCATATCCACCGCCTGCCGAGGCCCCGAACATCGATACTCCAGGCGGCATCCAGGTACAACTTCCCGCCGGGCTTATGAGAGGCGAGAAAATTTCTCAGCAGACCGGGGGTCTGCTGAGCCGTGCGAGAAGGCCTTCTTCTTCTCACGTCCCCCTGGAGCTTGCCGCGGACAGGATGGAGCACGGGTCCTGGGGAGAGCCTCAGGGTCCGGGACCCGTTCCCCACAGCATGGCTGCCTTCCACGGAAGGGACTGGGGAGGGCCGTCAAGGATCAGACCAAAAACATCACGAAAGCGTCAGGCTGAATAACCGGTCCTCAGAGAAAGGGTACCCTCGGGGGTCCACGTCACGAAAAAACTACCACGTCGGTGGCAAGCGGCCGACGGGCCAGTGATCCCCAGTCCCTGGGGCTGCCGCTATGGGTATGAGTTTCCCCTTAACACACTGCGGGTCAGAAAGAGCTTGGGGGGATGGCTGCAGATTTCGGTTTGCGATTGGAATCGGATGGGTACGATATCGAATGATCTCGGTGCAGATGTCTATCAATACCCGAAACAATCGGCCTCATTTCAAAGCTAAAAATCACTCGGTCGATCTGATCATCCTTCTGCCATGTCGACCTCACGACCGACAGATCTGTGTATATATAGATATTCATGCACCAATATCATTTCCCACACGCCGATACCACTATCGATGGTTAGGTCGATTGCATCATCGATCGCCAAACAACTATCGACCAATCTCACGGTCGACCGATGGGACGGTCTTACCGTGTAAAGTATCTGCCTCGCTGCAAATATGTTAGCCAGGGCGGACCCCAAACAGTGATGACGTTCAGTATATGCAGTGCAAGTAGGTGGTGCAATCAATGTAGTGCAATATAAGTTGTGCAATACATGTGATGGAATCTGCGTGGTGCAAGGCAATGCAGAACAATGCAAAGCGATGCAAGTCAACGCAATGCAATGCAACACAATGCAAAACAATGCATAGCAATGCATTGCCGTGCAAAGCAATGAACAGCAAGGCATAGCAATGCAAAGCAATGCAACTCAATACAAAGCAGTGCAAACCAGCGCATAACAGTGCAAAACATGCAACGCAACGCAAAGCGATGCAAAGCAATGCACAGCAATGCACAGCAATGGAAAGCAACGGGAATCAATGCATTGCAATGCAAAGCAGTGCAAAGCAACGCAAAACAATGCAACGCAATACAGCGCAATGCTGCAAAGCGGTGCAGGCAATGCAGAGCAATGCAAAGCAATGCACAGCAATGCACAGCCATGAGAAGCAATGCAAAGCGATGGAAAGCAATGCATTGCAATGCAAAGCAATGCAAGGTACTGTGAAGCAATGCAAAACAATGAATTGCAGTGCAAAGCAGTGCAAAGCAGCGCAAAGCAGCGCAAAGCAGTGCAAAGCAGTGCAACGCAGTGCAACGCGGTGTAACGCAACGCAAAGCGGGCGGCGACCGAGGCGGCGACGGCAGCCACACGGCGGCCGGAGCGGAACGCGGGCCCAGGCGAGGGGCGGCGACGATGCGGCGACGGCGGCCACACTGCGGCCAGAGCGGCCCGCAGGCCCAGTGCCTTCGAAACAGTCAAGAGCCCCCGAGTGCGAGCACTGCTTGGGGCCCATATGCTCTCCAGCCATCGGTCTCACTATCGGTTGGCCTCGCTTTCAATCTAGCGAGCTCGCCACTGATTGATCTGCCGATCCTTCGATCTCTCTATCGGGGCGACAGCCGGGACAACTGTTGAGACAACCAACGGGGCAACCATCGGGACACCCATCGGGACATCCATCGGGACGACTATTGAGACAACCAACGGGACAACAATCGGGACATTCATCGGGACAACCATCGGGACAACCACAGGGACAACCAACGGGAGAACCATCTGGAAAACAATCGGGGTGTCCATCGAACCAACCATAGGACAACCAACGGGACAACCATCGGGACAACCATTTGGAAAGATAGCGGGGCAACAATCGGGACAACCATCCCGACAACAAGCGAGACAACCATGGGAGCAACTATCGGGAAAACCATTCGGACAACCATCGGACAACCAACAGGGCAACGTTCGGGAAAACCGTTGGGACAACCATCGGGACAACCGTCGGGACGAGCATCGGAACGATCACCGGGACAACCAAGAGGACAAGCGTTGGGACAAGCAAGAGGATAAACATCGGGACAACCGTCAGCACAACCATCGTGACAACCATCGTGACGACCATCGGAACAACCATCGGAGCAACCAACGGGACAACCATCCGAATATAACCCTCGGTCCGACCGGACCTAGGCCACAAATTCCAAGATCTCCTGGGACGTGCCGCAGCTCTCCTGGGTCTCACCGCATCGGCCCCTTGATCCGCGAGACCTGCCGCGCGATACGAACGTTCGCGCGATGCGAACTCTCGAAACCAGCGTGGATTCATGTACATGTACGTCCTTCTTTCGCTCCTGATATGTAGGACGTCGTCGGAACCCCAGGGTGGGGGGGCCACAAACGGCCCCACGGGGACCCAAAACGGCCCCCCAAGACGTCCAGGACCGGACCGCCCCGAGTCGCGCGGAAAGCGCCCTCCATGACGCCCGCGATGGCCTCCAAGAGGCCCCGGGATGGCTGCAAGAGCACCTCCAAAAGGGCCCCCCACACACCCAGAGCCGCGCCTAGACGGCGCACTGGCACGGAAGAAAGCTGCGAACTCGCATGCGTTGGAAAAATCAGTCCTAAAGGGCCCCGAGAAGGCAAAACCGTGATTGCCCGCACAGTCGAAAACTCTACGGCAAGGACGGGCTGTAACGACGCAAGGGCCTTGGACGCCGAAGCTGGCAGCGGGCTGCGAGCGCCCTGAGAGGCTGGCCAGTGAAAACCGCGAAGGACGGGCCGCAGAAGCAAGGGCGCAAGGGTACCCTAAGGACAACCGTGCGCAGGCTTACTGGGCCCCAGAAACGGCAGTGCCGTCTCGGTTTCCGAAAGTGTTCCTCTAAAACTGAGAAGGGAAAAAACGGCGACCAGAAACGGCAAAAAAAACTCTGGGATTGGAACCGGAACTGGAACCAGAAAACAACAGGCGACGCAACCGTCAAAACAACGGCTCAACGGAACAGGCAAAAAAAACAGCCCTGTCGCTTCAAGGGCCCACTAATTGAGTCCCTGCATCCTTGCTATGAGTTTGGTCTGTAGGTGGAGTTTAGCGTTTATTGCCTGGTCCCCACAGGCCCGAAGGATCACCTCAAGGCGGCCAAAGGAGGCCCCCAGGAGAGCCCCAGGAGGGCCCAAGGGAGGGCCCCAGGAGGGCCCCAGGACGGCCCAAGAGGGGCACCAAGAAGAGCCCAAGGCCCTATAGGATGAGCACGAAGCACGAACCAACATTTCGAGCCCCCCAACCCAAGACGACCTCCGCAACAGCCAGCAGGCCCCCAAGAAGCCCCACATCGAACACCCAGAGCGCATCCTGCCAGTGAGCACGTCCCCCTGGGCATCATCGCCCCGTGAAGCATACCCAGGCGATCAGGCAAGCAAGCTTCGCGAAACTCTCGGTGCGACGAGGCTTGATCGAGACTCTGAATGGCTCTCTCCCTCATCCTAATTATCGTGATGCAGCTTCTTGCGTTGACTCCGCGCCTTCCATGGGACATGGGACCGGCGTTTCATCCTGGGGATCGGAACGGGACTTGAGAGTCTAAGTAAGAGGAAAACAAGCCGTCGCACCTTCTTCGCGACACGGGATCCAAGAGTGTCTCTCGACCCACTCACGCCATTCCGTGACGGTCCACACTTGGTGACACGCACAGAGGGAACTTCTGAGAGGGCAGGGGGACTTCTTGAAACCCTGCCCGACGTCTGTGAAGGCGTCTTGAAAGCCTCCGGTCCCTTCTACGTCGACGCTTCCTTGGCGTCTGCATGCCCAGTTCAAGCATTCACGTCCCCCATGATAAAACTTGCCAGCTGTGGCCGAGAATGTCCGGAACTCGGCGTCCAGAGCATTCAAGAAGATCGAACGAAATCCGCTCGAAGCCAGTTCCCAAACCCCACCCTGGCCGCGGTCAACCTGAGCGACGACAAGAACGGGTCTTACACGAGATGGCACGGCGACCTTACGCCGCAGCTTACGCGGGCCGCCACCGCGGCACGCCACATTGGAGACGAGGGCGCTTACGCGCGACCTCGCCAGGCAGCTTACGCGCCAATGTCGGCAGACCAACCCCTTTTTTTGCGTCGCTCACCTGACCAGTCTCCCGAGCGCCTCAAAGGGGACTCCGAAAGGTGGGCCATGTCTTCCGAGCACGTCCTCCTCCTCGTCATCCTCCTCCTCCTCGTCCTCCTCCTCCTCCTCTTCCCTGTCCCCCGCGGACGTGCTCCCTCGCCTCTGGGACGAAAACCCGCCCGGAAACGCACAACAAGCGCCGCCAACAAAACGCCGCGCCGTCGACGGCGCCATCGGCGACGAAGCCGCGAGAGCCCCCCCGCTCCTTGGACAGGGCGTAGTCTGCGAAGGCCTCGGCCAGGAGGCCGCCGGCGGCCCTCTGCGCCTGCGGGCGGGCGGGCAGGTCGGGGGGGGGGGAGGCGCAGGCAGACCAGTCCGCAACCGGATCGGATCGGACGGCGCGCCAGACCCAGAGATCCGACGCCCCCCAAAAAAGGAAAACTGAGCAGGCGGTTCTGGGCCGTTTTCGGCCTCGGAGGGCCCTCGCCGGGCCTCGGGAGCGTCCAAAAAACGACTCGGGACGAAAACCGGCCCTGGGAAGTGGTCCGGACCTCTGGGGCCCACGCATTTAAAAAATTGGAGCAGCCGGATGCCTGAAATCGGGCTGCATCGGCACAGAGTCGGTATCAGATCGGATCGGCCGCGCCAGGGTGCACAGCAGCGCCGTGCGAACATCGGCCGCATCGGATCGCCGGGACATCGAAGCCGAAACGGAGCGTGCTGGTCGGACTCGACATCGAAGCGGACCGATCGGTTCGAAACGGACCCTGGGCAGCGCCCTGGGGCCGCCAGCGCACCCCCAAGGTGGCCCCGCACACAGGCGCTGCCTGCGCCCTACCCAGACATCTGGCTACTCCAATTTTTTGGACCCCTGGGCCTGGGAGGTTCGACCGAGGTCGTTGTTTGACGCTCCCGAGGCCCAGCGAGGGCCCCTGGAGGCCGAAAACGGCTGAAACCCATCCTCCTCCTCCTCCTCCTCCTCCTCCTCCTCCTCCTCCTCCTCCTCCTCCTCCTCCTCCTCCTCCTCCTGCTCCTGCTCCTCCTCCTCCTGCTCTTCCTGCTCCTCCTCCTCCTCCTCTCCTCCTCCTCCTCCTCCACCTCCTCCTCCTCCTCCTCCGCCTCCTCCTCCTCCTCGCTCCTCGCTCCTCGCTCCTCGCTCCTCGCGCCTCGCTCCTCGCTCCTCGCTCCTCGCTCCTCGCTCCTCCTCGCTGCTCGCTCCTCACTCCTCGCTCCTCCCTCCTCGCTCTCGCTCCTCGTTCCTCGCTCCTCCCTCCTCCTCCTCCTCCTCCTCCTCCTCCTCCTCCTCCTCCTCCTCCTCTCCGCCTCCTCCGCCTCCGCCTCCGCCTCCGCCTCCTCCTCCTTCTTCCCAGAAAATGTCTTCACTACTCTTGCACATCACTCCTGCAGAGGGGCCTCCAGAGCGGCGGCCTCTCGGCGGGCTCCCCGGGGGCCTCCGGACCTCTGCAGGAGGAGAGCGCTCCTGGCCCGCGCGGGGCCTCGACGGGCGCCCCCGAGCGACGGCCCGAGGCCGCCGCCGGGGGGCGCGAGGCGCCCCATCCCCACAGATCCGGCGCTCCAAGAACATGAAAGGCCGCGGGCACACAGATAAACACACACACACACACATATACACAAATCCGAGGGTGCCCCATAGTGTCCCATCTTTGCTGGGTTTTCGGCTTTCCCCAGCTTCCCTTGTGTTCCCATGTTTTCCTAGCAATCGACGACTGGTTGTGCCTGTGTTTGTGCCCCGCCCTGACATCCCCACAGATCCGACGCTCCCCAGAGACGGGAGCCGCGGGTGTCTGGACGTCTTCGGCCTTTCGGGAGCGCCTCCGCTGGGCCTCGGGGAGCGTCAGAACACGGCGCAGGCCGGAAGACCGACCCTAAGGAAGGGAAGAGGTCCGGACCTCTGGGGGCCCACGGGTCGAGCACATCGGGGCCGCCGGAGGCAGGGAGAAGCCGCCGAAGGGGGGGGGGGCGGGGCGGGCTTCCCCCCCGAAGGCCCAGCGGGAGAGCCCCGAGATCTCCCCGAGGCCGCAGAGGAAGGCCGCATCTTGCCATCGCTCGGGCGTCGCGCGCTCCCAGACATGCGACGTCCTGACTTTTTCAGGACGGCGTCCCTGGAAGTCCCGACCCTTCCCCCGGGACCCGCTTTTCGTCCTGAGTCGTTTTTTGATGCTCCTGGGGCCTTGCGAGGGCCTCTAGGGGGTCGAAAAGAATGACACACCCCGCGTCCTGATTTCTTCACGACGCCATCATGTCTGGGCCTCGGAGAGGACATCGCTCGGACATCGGCACTCCCGGGTCGACGGCGTGCGCCTGCGTTTTCGAAGAGGGTCCGGGAGGCTCCCCGGTGGTCCCCGCCGAGGAAGAGAGCACGCACGCGTCCGAGCGAGGCCAGGACGCACAGGACGCGCCTCCCTTCTCGTGTTTTAAAAGCCTGCAGCCGCGAGTTAGCTTTGCCTTTCTGTTTTTTTGTGCGACAAATAGTTGGTCAGGCGCATTGGCCGTCTTGTTGGTGTGAGCACTGGATTTTCCCGCTCCACAAGCGCCAAGCGCTTTCCGACCCAGAAAATGATCGTGGAGTCCACCTCACTTCGCAGCTCTCGAAGGCGGCAGAGAGACTGATTCGTGATCTGTTTGTTCCACGTTTGGAACGTCTCGGCGCTTTGGGCCGGCGCAGTTTGCGTGCAGACAGGAGCACGGGGCTCGCGATGGCTTCACTCTTTCTCTCTCGAGGCGGCCCGCAGGCCTGCCGGCTCTCTCTCTCTCTCCCCAGACCCCCTCGGGCAATGAAACATGAGGGGGCCCTGGGACACACAAATAAATACACACACATAAAAAGATTCCCCATATTTTCTGGGTTTTTGTCTTCCCCCCCCCCACTGCCCATATTTTCCCATATTTTCTGAGAATCGACGAATAATTGTGTCTGTGTGTTTTTTCCCCTCCTGATCTCTCCCCAGACCCCCATCGGGCAATGAAAAAATCAGGACAGGATTTTTTGTTCCTTATTTTCGACCTCTGGGGGCCCTCACCAGGCCTCGTGACCGTCAGACACCCGTCCCAGGGAAGGGGTCCAGACCTCGGGGGTCGACAACATGAAAAAATCACGACGCCGGGGGTCAGGGTCTCTGGAGCGTCGCCGGAGAGTTGGTCTGGAGAGTGGCCAGCCTGCGAGGCGGGGATTTATCCATATCCACCGCCTGGGAACAGACGTCCTGGTGCCGCGGCGGGCGGTGGATGTGGACATACATCTTGGCCCCCGGATGCCCGAATATGTCCATATCCACCGCCTGCCCGAGGCTCCCGAAAACTGATCCTCCGGGCGGTGGTCATGTAGAAATGCCCGCCTCGGACGCCCGTGCAGTGGGGGCCCATGCCGAGAAACGCCCTGCTTGCCTCCAGGGTCGCCCCCCCCCCAGGGGGCGGCGCGCGCACCGAGAAATCCGCGAGTACTTGCGCCGTGGCGGGCTCGATTCTGGCCACACCGCGCGGGCTGGGGAACGGGTATGCTACAAGACTGCACTACCGTGTTCGGGTCGGGCGCGCGCCTCCGAGAGGAGGCCACACAGCACTATTCTGTCCCTGTGCGTCTCACACAGTGGAAGCCAATGCCGAGAAGCACCCTGCTTGCCTTCGGGGTGGCCCTGGGCTTCTTGGCGCTCGATGGTCTTACTGTGGAGCGCGGGGCGCTCCCGCACCAGAAAGCCACGGCCGTCCTGGGGCCTCAGGGTCGGGTGTCTTGTGGAAGGTTCCCTGTGGTCGAGTTTCTGCTTTACCCAGAAGTCTGGCGATACGGCTGTTTTTCTTGTTCCGCGCGCGGCCCAAGCAGTCTCGAGACCACGCCCCCGGGCCAGAGCCTCGTCCCGCAGCCGTGGTTTGGCCCCGGGAGCCCTGACGGCCGAACTCGGGGGAAAAAGCCCTCGGGTGAAACATGACGTACAGTCAACCCGTATATGTAGCAAGGATGCGCGATGAGGATGCAAAAGCCTTGGACGCCCGTTTCGAAGTTTCTCGAGCGGGGCGCGGCCAACGAAGGTCGCCAAGGATGAACCGAGGAGGCAAAGACGCAAGGGTACCCTTGGGAAGGCTGGCCCATCCTTGCTATGCGGGTTGACTGTAGATCCTCGGAGATCTGGGCAAGGCCGGACCTAGGACAGAAGAACACCCTTCAAGAACGTGAGACCATCCGCCGGGCAAACTGCAGAACATTCAAGGGTGCCCTCCCCCAGGATGCACAAGAACATCCAACAAACACAAAGACCATCAGGGGACCCTCCCTGAACCGACCTCGATCTTACATCGGGGGCGTCCAAGAGGGGGGCGTCAAGGAGGGAGGGGAGGGCAGAGGAAGAGCAGGAGGACGAACAGCAGCGAAGGGCCTGGCACGTTCCGCTAGCGTCCCTGGCCGCGCTGCTGCTCCCCATCCGTTGCTCCCGCAAGAGGTTATCGCCATGCTGGCTGTGAGACTGTTGGTGCCCTGCTTCGTGCTTACTGGCGCGCTCGAAGACCCGAAGGGCCATGCTGCAGGGGAAAGGAAGCGCAACAAGAAAGCGCACCTCCACCCCTATCTGGCCCCCCTTCCCCCCGAGACTGTGCCAGGGAGTTTCCAAACCCGAACGTGAGGATGTTTCGCACAAGCGGCGCAAAGCGCATCTTCCCAAGAGGAGGGGGGGGCGCAAATCATGGCCAGCGGCATGTGCGCGGCCCAAGGGGGGGGGAGGGGAGGGGGGGCGGGGAAGACGTGTTGAAAGAGGAAGAGACACCGGGAAATCTGCGCAGATCTCATGGCCCCCGTCTTGATATCCCCTCTCGTCATCACCCCTTCGGTGGCAGATCATGGGAGCCTCGCATATGTACCATCTTGTCTGCTCTTGCGAATCAACGCTGGTCGACGCTAAATCGACGCTAATCGACGCTAGCCGACGCTAAATCGGCGCTACCTCATCCACTCCCAAGGGCTGATCGCCGATAATCGACGCTGAAGTCGGAATCAAGAGGGTATAGCAGGCTCCCATGCTTTGCTACCGAACCCCCTCCTCGCCTTCTGTTGCTCCCAGTGTACTTAAGGACCACATCTCAGGAATAATCTCGAGCACCCAGAAAAGTAGCGAAACGGTGTCGAACGAGCATCGCCTCCCGGGGCCCGACACGTGGAAACCATCCCGTTTCGGCACGTTCCTGGTGCTCGGAATTCTTTCTGATGATCAAATATCACAAACATCGGAAGTAAGTTGGAGCATCACAAATATCGAGTCATAACTCGGGCCTCCCGTGGCCGTCCGGGACCATCCGGGCACCCCTGGAACGCCCTCGGCGAGGCGCCGCTGCTGGAAAACCTTCGGGGGCCTGCGAAAACGCAAGAAACCGCCCTCGAACCTGGATCTTCGAATCCTCGGATGCCCCCCGTTCGTCCAGCCCGATCCTCTTTGATTTGCTACCGAGCCTCCTCCTTCTCAGACCCCCGACGTCATGATTTGTCATATGACCTCGACCCTCAGAGGTCTCGACCCATTCCTCGGGACCGGTTCTTCTTCCCGAGTCGCTGCTTGACGGTCGCGAGGGCCTCCCGAGGCCGAGAACATGGAAAACCTCCCGTCCTGACTTCTGTCACTACCCGAGGAGATCTGGGGAGAGAGAGCCTCGCGCGTCCTCGCGCGTCCTGTGCGTCCTGGCAGGCCTGCGGGCCGCCTCGCGCGTCCTGTGCGTCTGGGCCTCGCTCGGACGCGTGCATTCTCTTATCCTCGGCTTGAGCAGGGACCGTCCCGGCATTCCTATAGTCCTACCACGGAATGCTCTTAGAACCCAAGTATGTTTAATAACAAAAACAATGTTCTTAGAACATAAGCCCGATGTTTATATATATATATAAACAACAAGAAAAAAGACTCCGCCAGAAATGTTCTAAGAACAGTTCGCGGAAACCACAAAAAGGTTCTTAGAACACTGTTTGGAGGGGGCTACAGGCGAGCCCGGACGCTTCGGCACTGCTTGATCGGCGGGGACCACCGGGGGGCCTCCTGGACCCTCCTCGAACACACACTGCCCGAGGGGGTCTGGGCTGCCGCCCCCGAGGAGACCTCGCTCCGCCCGCGCCGGGGGCCGATCGTCCTCGGCGAGGCGTCTGCGTGCGCCTCGCGCGCACACGCGAGGGGCAACGATAGGGGGGGGGCTGGCATAGGGGGGGGCGCACCCTTATCTAGAAAAATAAAAAACACAACACACACTTTTGGCGCTCCGCGCGGATTTCTTGGATCCGCGCTGGACCCCCCTCCCTGGCGCGCGGAACGCGCCAGGAGCGGCGCCAGAGGCGCCGCCGGGGGGCCCAGGCGCGGATCCAAGAAATCCGCGCGGAGCGCCCAAAGTTGATGTTTTTATATGGTTTTTTGGTCCTTCGATCATCGTTGCCCCCGAAAGGGGCCGATCATCCTGGGCGAGGCGTCTGCGTGCGCCCACGCGCACACGCGAGGGGCAACGATAGGGGGGGGGCCGGCATAGGGGGGATGCATCGACCTGGACAGGGCTGAACCTCAGCGGTGTGTTTCGTTTTCGTTTTGTTGTCGATGTCCCTCGATTTGTCTTCAATCCGCCTTTACCGCAAAACGAAGTCGAACCGAAAACGGCCCACGAAAACGCCAAAACACCGTTTAGGTCCAGCCCTGGACCTGGAACCAGCGATACATCGCCGATCGATCGGCGATAGGCCCCTGATGGTGAATCCGCACCTTCCTGGGCAGGCTGGGGCTATCGGGCCCCTATCGGCGATCAGTGGGCGATTGGGGGGCGATGCATCCCTCCCGCTATCCCTATCCCGCCCTCTTTAGAAGAAGAAAAAACCACAACATAAACTGATGGCGCTCCGCGCGGATTTCTTGGATCCGCGCTGGACCCCCTCCCTGGCGCGCGGAACGCGCCAGGGGCGGCGCCAGAGGCGCCGCCAGGGGGGCCAGGCGCGGATCCAAGGAATCCGCGCGGAGCGCCCAAAAGTTTCTGTTTATGTGTTTTTTTTGTTCTTCGATCATCGTTGCCCCCGAAAGGGGCCGATCATCCTGGGCGAGGCGTCTGCGTGCGCCCACGCGCACACGCCCACGCGCCCCCCGGGGGCCACGCGAGGCGGAGCGCGACAGGGCGCCTCCGCGAGCTTGTCCAGGCCCGCCGCAAGGCGCCTCCACGCGCGCCGGAGGAGGGAAGAGAGAGGAGAAGGAGGAGGAGGAGGAGGAGGACGACGACGACGAGTACGCGGAGGAGGAGGAGGAGGAGGAGGAGGAGGAGGAGGAGGAGGACGCGGAGGAGGAGGAGGACGAGGAGGAAGAGGAGGAGGAGGACGAGGAGGAAGAGGAGGAGGAGGAGGAGGAGGAGGGGCGCACCGGGGTCCTCCCGCAGAAGCAGGGGCGAGGACGAGGCACCCTCAGAGGTCCGACGCTTAAGAAAAAATTGGAGCGGCCGGTTTGGGCCCGCGCACGGCTTGGGTCCTCGCTGGGCCTTGGTAGCGTCCAACAACGGCTCGGGGCGAAAAACCGGCCCCAAGGAAGTTGTCCGGACCTCTGGGGCCCACGCATTGAAAGAAAGAGTTGGGGCGGTCGGATTTCCGGGTCCACCTCCTCGTTTCTGGTCAGCCTCGATATAACCATTTTCCCCAAGCTTGGCAGGCCAAAAGGCGATGACAATCTCATGGATGCGCCGTCAAAAGCTGAGAGAATCCTTCACGTAGGCATCGAAATCACGGGATGCTCATCATATCTGCTCCAGACTGGCTACTTTCTAAAAGAAGCGGCACATGCTATTCCTATTCATATCCGCCGGCCCCCTTGCGGGGCCACCAGGCTGTAGGGCGATTGCTGTTCCCTGCACCAGATCCAGCTTCCAGTTGCTACAATATTGCTTTATGCTGCTCACTGTTCCTTGTTGATGGACCACGCGAAAGGCGGGAGCCGAAAAAAGTGCTTTGTTAGCGTCTCCTGGGAGGGTTTTCAAAACTTCTGGGGGGGGCGAAATCCACACCCCTCACGCAGATCGGCGGGGTTAGGGCCCAAAAACACGAGGGATTTGCCACATGTCTGAAATTCGGCGGCACCCCTCACGCGAATCGGCGAGGTCAGAGTCCAATTAGCCTGGCGAAAGACCCAACCATATGCAGTTGTGAATACCGCGCAATTGTGAATACCATCTTCGCCCCCGCACCCTATGTGGCCACGGCTTCCCGCCGGAGCCCGACGTGCTCAGAACACGTTCGTGGCCGTTTTCGCGGGCGCCGACGACCACAAGGACGGCGTCCCTCTGACCGAGGAGCAGAAGCAAGAGAGGGCTTTGAGAGCCATGAGGGAGGTGGCGTTGCACGTCGACAAGGCGGAGTACGACGCCCAGGCGCGCTTGTTGAAGCAGCACAACTATGGGGCCACGATCCTCGTGAGGGGTGTGCCAAAATGGCCTGGGGCCGCCATGCGAACCCTGCCACTGGCGCCTTCGCTGGAGTTCCCTATGGGGCCACGCTCCTAGTGAGGGGTGTGCCGAAATGCCCCGAGGCCGCCATGCGAACCTTGCCACTGGCGCCTTCGCTGGACTCCCCATGGGGCCACGATCCTCGTGAGGGGTGTGCGGACATTGCCCGAGGCCGCAATGCGAACCCTGCTACCGGCGCCTTCGGTGGAGCTCCCCATGGGGCCACGATCCTCGTGAGGGGTGTGCCGAAATGGCCCGAGGCCGCCATGCGAACCCTGCCACTGGCGCCTTTGGTGGAGCTCCCTATGGGGCCACGATCCTCCTGAGGGGTGTGCCGAAATGGCCCGAGTCCGCCATGCGAAACCTGCTGCTGGCGCCTTCAGTGGAGCTCCCCATGGGGCAATGATCCTCATGAGGGGTGTGCCGAAATGACCCGAGGCCGCCATGCGAACTCTGCCACTGGCGCCTTCGCTGGAGTTCCCTATGGGGCCACGATCCTCGTGAGGGGTGTGCCGAAATTGCCCGAGGCTGGCATGCGAGCCCTGCCACTGGCGCCTCCGCTGGAGCTCCCTATGTGGCCACGATCCTCGTGAGGGGTGTGCCGACATGGCCCGAGGCCGCCATGCGAGCCCTGCCACTGGCGCCTCCGCTGGAGCTCCCCATGGGGCCACGATCCTCGTGTGGGGTGTGCCGAAATGGCCCGAGGCCGCCATGCGAACCCTGCCGCTGGCGCCTTCGCTGGAGCTCCCTATGGGGCCACGATCCTCGTGAGGAGTGTGCCGAAATGGCCCGAGGCCGCCATGCGAACCCTGCCACTGGAGCCTTCGGTGGAGCTCTCTATGGGGCCACGATCCTCGTGAGGGGTGTGCCGAAATGCCCCGAGGCCGCCACGCGAACACTCGGTGGAGCTCCCTATGGGGCCACGAAACGCTGTACTGGGTGGGTGAAACGCAGGGAGGAGGGAGGAGGGGGAGGAGAAGAGGAGGAGGAGAGGAGGAAGAGAGGAACGCGGGGCACCGTTTCAAAACGAGGACCCAACACCACAGGATGATTTGGAAAAACGCAAGGGATTTGCCACATGTCTGAAATTTGGCGGCGCCACTCTTGCAGATCGGCGGGGTCAGGGTCCAAAAACACGAAGGATGTGTCACGTTGCTCAAATTCGGCGGCACCCCTCACGCAGATCGGCGGGGTCAGGGCCCAAAAGAAATAAGGGATTTGCCACATTTCTGAAATTCGGCGGCAACCCTCTTGCAGATCGGCGGGGTCAAGGTCCAAAAGCACAAGGGATTTGCTACATGGTTGTTCACATCCGGTGGCACCTCTCACGCAGATCGGCGGGGTCAGGGTAAAAAAACAGGGATTTGCCACATTTCCAAAATTCGGTGGCACCCCTCTTGCAGATCGGCGGGGTCAGGGTACAAAAGCACAAAAGATTTGCTACATGTTAATACTCCGTAGCAAAGTTTTTTTGCACGGCATACGCGAGCAAGCTCGAACACACAACACCAAATTCCACAATAACATCAAAATCTCAATTTGTCTTGCCGATTACTCATCGTCTTCGCGTGAAGTCCCGACGCTGCTTCACGGCGGCGCCAAGGCCTCATAATTTCGCTATTATCCGAGAAAGGGGCTGGCGGCAGGGGGCGAAGCCATTACGGATGTTTCTATAAGGCCGTGGACCCCATCAAAAGCGCACACGCACACACACACACACACACACACACACCACCAAACGAAATTGGCCCACCCTGGCCTGGGCCTTTCGGGCAGCACCCCAGACGGCATGGGAAGACCTCACGAGAGCCCGAAGACGGCCTCAGAGGGCCCCCCGACGTTCCCGCGCGCTCCCGAAACGACTCCAAAGGAGCCGTCATACCCCCAAAGATCGCTCCGAAACGTCCCAAGAGAGGCCTCCAACAGCACTCCCACGAGGGCCCCAAGAGGCAAAAGTCTTGATTTTCCATTTGTTTGTGGGTGATTTTGAGTTCTCCCCTTTTCGGCTTCCCGACGCTCCAAGACGGCCCACGAGGCCCGACAGACCTTCAAGAGGGTCCCAAACCGGCCCAAGAGGGCCCCGAGACAGTCCCGACAGGGCCCCAGGATGCCCCTGGAGAATCCCAAGAGGCCCTGGAGCCCTAGGAAGCCCCAAGAAGTTCCCAAGAGTCCCAAACGGGATCCCATCACGTTCGAAAACGCCCGAAAAGGTCCCCGAGACATGCCCGACACGGGCCAGGAGCCCGAACATGACCCCAAGACAACCCAACAGAGCCAATATGCGCCCCAAGACAGGCCCAAGCCATAACGGGACTGCACCACATCCCACGGAGGCCCCCAATAGGATCGAGGCTCTTATGAGGTCCACGTGACGTTCACACTCTGAACGCGAGGCCTCCCAAGAGCGAACGGCGGCGCAAAACAACTTCAGCGTCGAGATAATTGGGCCCCCGTGGCGAAACGGTCCCGAGGCCCCCCAGGCCCTCACACGGCTCCTTCCATAGTCCCACAGACACTGTCATTGGTCAGCTCAGATCGCCGTTCCACATTCTGCCGTGTCATCCATGCCGTCTCCTACCCAAAGATTTCGCCACTCGCGAGCTCCTCACTGCGTCTCTGCCCCCCCTCCCCATCTGTGGCCACGACCGCGTACATGTATATAGACATGCATATGTGTGCACGTGCATATGTCTGATTAGGCATGAAACGTGTGTATGCGCAAACATGGATATATGCATACATATATATATATATATATATATATATGCAAGTGTGTATATGTGTGTATCGAATAAGACCGTAAAAAACATTTAAAAACACAAAGAAAAAATGCACGTGTATCCATATAACCATAGACGTAAACGCAAGTATATACACACCTATATGTCCATAGATGTACGGCGTGCATACGCGTGCGCGCGTAGGACATGTATGCACATGTTCGCGCGCGCATGTGCACGCGCACGCACGGCGCCCGCGTGCGAAATACGAAGGAACAAGGAGCATGGCGCGAAGCGCTATTGCAGTCTTGGATATCCCTCTGTATGTATGTATATGTATATATAGATATGCAAATGAATGCGACACATGGAATGAGCACACACAGATCTATATATATATATATATACAACGTGTATATATCTATTCCAAGCAGATATCTGTTCAAGGGTGGGATCGTAAGCGTTTTCTGATTCTGGATTTGGACATTTGGCCGAAGGGTGGGGACGAGGAGGCGGAGGAGGAGGAAGAGCAGGAGGGGGAGGGGGAGGAGGAGGAGGAGGAGGAGGAGGAGGAGGAGGAGGAGGAGGAGGAGGAGGAAGAGGAGGAGGAGGAGGAGGAGAATGGGGGAGGACCTGAGGAGGAGGAGGAGGAGGAGGAGGAGGAGGAGGAGGGAAATCTGGGTCTGGGCGGGTGCTTCGTCGATCTGCTTCCACCAGTCGCGCCAGCAGCCTGAGGAGAAGGGGCCCTGACCAGTCGCCAGCAGGAGCCGCCGAGAGCAGACAAGGTTTCGTCGATGGAGGGTGGGGGGCAGGAGCCCGCGCCGATCGGCGAAACAAAACATAACAAATCCAAAAAACGCAAAACATGTGTATAGAGAATGCTCCAGGCAAAAATGTTCGGCCGACTTCGGCCTCTGGGGGCCCTCACCGGGCCCCAAGACCCGTCAGAAAAATACACAGCTCGGCGAGAAGGGCCGACCCAGCGGGTGCGGGGGAAAAGTGCGGACCCCCAGGAGTTCCACGCTGGGAACCAACAAAAACAACAACAGCAACAACAACAACAACAACCACAACAATAACCACAACAACAACAACAACACAATGAACAACAACAACAACAACAACAACAACAACAACAACAGCAACAACAACAACAACAACAACACCAACAACAACAAAAACAACGACAATTACAACAACAACAACAACAACAACAACAACAACCACAACCATAACCATAACCACAACAACAACACACTCAACAACAACAACGACAACAACAACAACCACAACAACAACAACCACAACAACAACAACCATAACAACAACAGCCACAACCATAACCACAACAACAACAACAACAACAACAACAGCAACAGCAACAGCAACAGCAACAACAACAGCAACAACAAACAACAACAACAAAAACGCGGCGTCCGATTTAGAGGTCTCACACGGACGGGCTTGATTGGAGAGGACACGCGAGTGGACACGAGACCCTTTGAGGGGCCACATTGCCACAGAAACGCAGAAGGCATGGGTCTCGGAACACAGGACACAAGGGTACCATTGGTTTGGCAGGGTTGACCTACGACGTAATCAACCTCGCCTGCAGATTTAATTCGTGAAGATGGGGTCGGAAGATCGCGCCGCATCGCCGATGCATCGACGATGCATCGGCGATGCATCGGCGATGCATCGGCAACGTCGGCGTGGAGAAAGCCGATCTCCGCATTGAACCGAAAGAGCGAGGATAGGGGGGGAGCCCAGGAGGCAGGGGGGGGGAGGGGGCAGAGGGGGCGCTCCCCAGGGCGCGGGCATGCATGACACGACGTGGCAACGATACCGCTACTCCCTGGACCTCTCCCGGGGTGCGTCCTGACCATAATCTCGAGACGAATCCAGCGGTGGCGACGAGGGCCACCCAGGAAGGCGAAACTCTGGGGAGAACGGGCGCAGGGGCCAGCGGCATGGGCACCTCCTCCTCCTCCTCCTCCTCCTCCTCCTCCTCCTCCTCCTCCTCCTCCTCCTCCTCCTCCTCCTCCTCCTCCTCCTCCTCCTCCTCCTCCTCCTCCTCCTCCTCCTCCTCCTCCTCCTCCTCCTCCTCCTCCTCCTCCTCTCCCCCTCCCCCTCCTCCTCCTCCTCCTCCTCCTACCCCCCTCGATCCCCCATCCTCCTCGACGTCGCGCAGCTTCGCCCCTCGCGCCCCGCGGTGCACGGTCCCCTTCGCGGAGAACACCGCGAAGCAAGAGCGGGGAGGCAGAGATCACCCCGCGCTCGCCAGCAGCTCCGGCGGCGCGCCGAGCGTCGCGTCCTTCCACGCGAGCAGCTCCAGCGTCACGCCGCCCGGCGCCGCCAGCGCCGCCAGGGCCACGGGGCCCCCAACGGCGCGCCGCTGCGTGCCCAGGGCGGTGTACCTGGGCAGCAGGTGCCGATGCCGCTACTCCTCCTCCTCTCCTCCTCCTCCTCCTCCTCCTCCTCCTCCTCCTCCTCCTCCTCCTCCTCCTCCTCCTGCTCCTCTCTCCTCCTCCTCCTCCTGCTCTCCTCCTCTCCTCCTCCTCCTCCTCTGTTTCTCCTCTCCTCTTCCTCCTGTTTCTCCTACTCCTGTTTCTCCTCCTCCTCCTCCTCCTCCTCCTCCTCCTGTCTCCCCCTCCTCATCCTCCTCCTCTTCTCCTCCTCCTCCTTCTCCTCCTCCTCTCCTGTTTCTCCTCCTCCTCTCCTCCTCTCTCATCATCATCATCCTCCTCCTCCTGGTTCTCCTCCTCCTCCTCCTCCTCCTCCTCCCTTCCTCCTCCTGCTTCTCCTCCTCCTCCTCCTCCTCCTCCTCCTCCTCCTCCTCCTCCTCCTCCTCCTCTTCATCCTCATCCTGCTTCTCCCCCGTCTCCTCCTTCTCCTCCTTCTCCTCATTCTCCTCGTCAGCGTCGACGTCGTCGTCGTCGTCAACGTCGGCGTCGTCGGCGGCGTCGTCGGCGTCGTCGTCGTCATCGCCGTCGTCCTCAGCCTCGTCGGCGTCGTCCTCGTCCTCATCGTCGTCCTCCTCAACGCCGAGGCGCGTTCTGACATGAATCTCGAGGCGAATCAAGCCGTGGCGGCGAGGTCCTCCCAGAAGGCCCAAAGAGGTGAAACCGAGGCAGTGGCAGCGGCATCTGTAACTTCTGACGTCTCCTCCGACCTTTACCCAAACATCCGACGTCTCGGGCCCTCAGAGGTTTGGACCCCTTCCCCGGACTGACTTCTCATCCCGAGTCGTTCTTCTGACGGTCCTGGGGCCCGGCAAGGGCCCCCAGGGGCCGAAACCTGCCCCCCTCCCCCCCATCGTGACGTTTAGGGGACAAACAATGACATAAACACAAAAAGTCGGAGGTCCGCGCGGATTTATCGGATCAGCGCCAGACCCCCCTCCCTGGCGCGCGGAGCGCGCCAAGGGCGTCGCCGGAGGCGCCGCCAGGGGGGCCCCAGCGCCGATCTGAGGAATCCGCGCGGACCTCCGAGTTAGTGTGATTATGTCATTGTTCGTTCCCCTAGTTGCACCACGCAAGGACCAGGCAGCGGCATCGGTACGGTTTCCTCCCATGAGAGCCCCGCCGCCGCGGGCCCTCGCTCCCCGACGACCAGGGCCTCCGGCAGCGACACGCCGCGCAAGAAGCCGTCCTTGGAGGCCACCAGGCAGCGGTCGGGCCCGACAACGCGCAGCGCCTCGATGGCCTGGTCCGCGCAAGGCTGCGACGCCAGCTGGCGCAGCCCGCCGCGAAGGTCGAAGAGCTTCACCTCCAAAGGAGCAGACATCGATATACATATATATATATGTGTGTGTGTGTGCGTACACCTGCACATACACATCTATATATATATATATATATATGTGTGTATGCGCACGTACGTACGTACGTACGTGCGTGCGTGCGTGCGTGCGTGCGTGCGTGCGTGCGTGCGTGCGTGCGTGCATACATACATACATACATACATACATACATACATACATACACAGAAACCAGCATGCATACATACATGCATCCATACATGCATGCGTGCTTACATGCATACATGCATACATGCATACATACATACATACCTGCATACATACATACATACATGCATACACACATGTAGGCGTGCATGCATGCATACATACATACATGCATGCATGCATGCATGCATGCATGCATATACATGCCTACATGCACGTATGCATGCATGCACACATACATACATACACACATACATAACGTATATACATGCATACCTACATTCATGTATGCGCTGCCTTGAATTACAGTACAGCGACTTACATTACATTACATTACATTACATCGCATTACACTGCAGTGCACAACATTATTTGCATGCATGCATAAATACATACATACACGCATGCATACATGCACACACACACACACACACCTACACACATCCACACGTACATGCATACATTAATACATGCATACATACATGCATACATACATACATATATACATACATACATACATGCATACACATACGCATACATACATACATGCATACACCTATACATATATACATACATACATACATACATACATACATACATACATACATACATACATACATACATACATACATGCATGCATGCATGCATGCATGCATACATACATACCACCATACATACATACATACATGCATACATGCATACATGCATACATGCATACATGCATACATGCATACATGCATACATGCGTACATGCATACATGCATACATACATACATACATACATACATACATACATACATACACACACACACACATACATACATACATACATACATACATACATACATACATACATACATACATGCACACATGTAGTCCATGCATCAGCGTGTGTGTATTTCAAATGTAAGCATGTATTGTTTTTCGTATGGGGGCCGAGGATGGAGGGGACTCCACCATGCTGGAACAGGCCGAAACGGAAGAGAGAGAGAGAGAGAGAAGAAAAAAGGAGAGCGCAACACTTCGAGCAGCAGGCCTGTCTGTCCAGGCCCCGAGGCCACAAGCGCCCGGGCCCCGAGAGCCTGACCCACGCGGCGAGAGGCAACGCTCGAGAATCCGGGGTGATGGGATGACACCCCCCCCGTGGCGCGACCTCCAGGGGGGCCCGGCTGCGACCTCACGCTCGAGCTGGCACGCGCGATGCGGAGCTTGGGGAACAAATCAACGGCACCGCCTTGGGGCACCCCCCGAAGGTGACGGGGCAGGGGCCACCGGTGCGCGCGGCCCTTCGGCGGGGAGGGGTGCTGGCACTGGTGTGCCGCACGTTGAGCGCTGAGAAGGGCTTGGAGGTTGCCGCGAGGCGACGCCCCCCGGGCCCCACGGCCTGCTTCAGGACCTGTTGAACAGGCCGCTCCGGGCCTCTCTTGCGCTCGCTGGAGCCCGCCGAGCAGCGGCGGCGTGCTTCGTTTCTGGGGTGCCAGGCTTGACTGTGATGCCCGCTCTGTTGTCGGCTCGGACTGTGCCGTGCACTTTGTGCTTCGTTGAGGTGTTGCACGCATCTGGTAGCACGATCTGGTGACCACCTGGATATCACGCAGTGATGCAATCACGGGGTGGGGGCTCTCTGGTGCCATGGCAGCGGAGGTCGATCTGGAGGCCTCCTTGCCCGGAGGTGCAGAGAACCCATGGGGAGCCGGCTGGCTCAATGCCAAGAGTCGCCGTGAGTCCGCGCGTTCCGACTGCTGCGCAATGGCGTCCTGGGAGCTCCATGGCACATTATATTTGACCAGTGCGGAAGTGGGACGAAAACACGGAGGCGAATGCGTCCGTGAAGTCGTCGTCAAGCTGTTTGCGAGCGACGTCTCTTTTGGCTGAGAGATGGCGTTCCTTCGCCATTTGCTGAGATACGCCTGGTCCGCCTGGGAAACGGCTGCCGTTGATGGATGCAGCAACTGAGAACTGTGCCTTCAAGAATTCCTCGAGCGCGGGCGTGACCGCAATAGCGTCACCTCGCAGATAGCGGCGTGGATCCAGACAGCGTTGCCAGGTGTGTCGGAAGTGAGCTGTACGATATTATAGAAGCGTCTCACCCTGTCCCGTCCGAGCTGCTTGTAAATGGCCCCTTGAATGTGTCCAGGCGTTGGCTTGGTAGCGGCGGAGGGCGGGGATGAGGATCTCGCGTCCTGGATAGTGGGTGTTGATAAGTCCCGGATCTGTGAGCGCTAGAGTTTTGCCTTGTGTTCGGATACATTGTAGCAGGCGGTCGCCTTCCATTTGTGTGCGAAAGAGAAGATACTGGTGTATGGCGTCCCCTCGCCATGTTTCTCGGGCGCGGTGGTTACGGGAACGTCCCACTTCTGTGCATCCGCGCTGGTGAGGAGGGGCCTTGCTGTTACCCTGGTGGGTTCTGGCGTCGACCGTGGTCCCTGGTGGGTAATGGTCTGAAGGTTTTTGGGGCGTGCGGGAGTAGTGCAGCATGGTTTACCCGCGCAAAATCATTAGCACGCCCCTGAGCCTCCGTTGGTAAGAGCGGTGTTGCTGGCAAGCAAGAGCCCGCGTCGAGGCACCTACGAGGGTGCGGTGTTGCTGGCAAGCAATCTCGAAATCGGTGTGGCGTCTGTGGGCAAGGTTCGTTGTAGGCAGCGACCCCCTGGTCGACGCCACGGCTGCTCTGGAGCGCGGCGACGCAGGCCTCCTCTCGGGAGAGACTCCTGTCCGGTAAAATTGAATACCGTCTGGCGGCCCTTGCCTGGTGGCCTGGGCTGCCTAAGTTGAAGTCGGGCGTGTCCCCATACAGGGGGATATTCGACGAAAAATTAGAAATACCTTGAAAACCATTAATCAAACAATAATCCAAACATAGTCTGGGGACTATTTTTTGAGTATGGTTTGGCCTCGTTGGGGTATTTCTTGGGGTATGTTTTCATTTGTCGGCGAAAATCCCCCTGTAGGGGGACACGCCCGCCATGAGCCTAAGTGGAGGCGGCGCACGGCGGGGGCCTTGGCGGAGCCGTGGCGCGCGCGGGACCCGAGAGGACGGGGCGCCAAGCTGTCACGGCCTCTGTCACGGCTTCTGCCACGGCCTGGAGAGGAGTCAAAGGGGCCCAGGGACACACAGATGAATCCATTAAAATAGCTAAAATAGCATGAGCCCCCCTGGTTTCCCACATGTTCTGGATTCTCGTCGTCCCCCCCCCCCCACGTCCCATAGTTTCCCACATCTTCCTGGGAGTCGACGATTGACTGTGTCTGTGTGTTCTTTTCCCGACTGAAGGAGAGAGAGAGAGAGAGAGGGAGGAGCGACGCTCCAGCGGGCGGGCAGGGCGGGTGGAAGCCGAAGATCATCACGGCCACGCCCCAACTCGCGGGCGGAAAAAAAACATGTCCGTGTCCGCGGCCTCGCGGGCTGGGCCCCTGGGCTTAGGTCGGGCTTGTTCCCCTACAGGCGGCTTTTGGACGAAAAATAAAAAATCCCCCGCAAATGCTCAGAGCACTTTTTGACTATGTTTGAAGATTCCCCCTGTAGAGGGACAGGCCCGACCTAACCCTGGGCCAGGACCCCACGCACGCGGGGCGTTGTTTCGCGGATGCCCCGCGCGGAATGTGTCCGTGCGACCGCGCATTCGCGGGAGCGCGCCCCCGAATCCAGACCGCGAGGGCGTCCGCCCCGCGTGAAAAAAAAACGCCCCAAGCATTCACTCTCGAAGCTAAGAGAGTTACTGTGTGTGTGTGGGCCGCGTGAGTTCTTGCTGCGAACCTCGCAGTTCTCGCGGGAGAAGCCCTTGGTGCCGCACGCTACGAGATTACCTTGGGGGTCCCAGGACGGTGTGGCGACACACCACGTGTGGTGACCTCGATATCCCAAAAGACCTCACCGCACGGCCCGCCACCACCGCACGGTCTTGGGATCTCGGAGGCCCCTAGTCGCTCGAGTCCCAAAACCGTGGGGTGGCCCCGCATCCCCACTTGATGGGCTTCTCTTCCATCACCACCACCATAAGTTGGGGGGAAGAGGACGAAGAGGAGGAGGACGAGGAGGAGGAGGAGGGCCCCCTCTCCCTCCAACTTCTGGTGGTGGTGGTGGAAAACGGGCCCATCAATCCCCACTGACTCACCACACGGTGTGGTCACCGCACCGTTCTGGGGGCCCCAGGCTGCCGTCGTCGGACACGTCGAGGCAGATCACCTGGTTCGGCCCCGCCGGCACCGCGGCCGCGGGCCGGAGGCCGCCCCGCACGTCCCACAGCCGCAGCTGCAGGTCCTCGCTGGCCTGCACCACCGCCGCTGCGCCGGCAGCCGGCAGGCGCCGCACAGCGGTGACGACGTTGCGTAGGATCTCGCCCACGCCGGGGATCTGACCACATCCGCCGAGCTGCCCGCGAACCCCCGACAATCTCGCCGGGCGCTGGACGCGGGCAGTGGAAGGGGAAGGCACTGAGACCCTCACGTCCAGCACCCCGCGAGAGAACCGTCGGGGGTGCAGCTCCAGACTGTTGGATATCGGCCACCGTGCCTGCATGGTGTAGGCGTGTGAGAATGCCAGGTGCTGCTCTGCTGGTTTTATCGCTTTTCTAGCAAAGCGGATCCCCCCCGTCCCGGGGTGTCGCGTGCACCCCCCCCCCCTTCCCGAGACCACGATCACTCGTAAAAACCATGGATCCGCTCTCCCGGGGCCACAATCCCTTGTTAGAAACAATGGATCCACGTTCCAAGACGGCCAATGCAGGCAACCAAGGACACCAAGATAGCCCAAGATACCTCCAAGACGAATGTGGCCACAAGGTCCGATCAAGCCAAAGTGATTGATTGCCCCGAGGCTATGAATGACTTCGCATTCTCGCCTTTCGGCTGCTGGAAGCTCAAGACGGCCTAAGAAGTCTACACGATGGCCCCAAGACGGCTCAAGAGGCCTCCACGAGTGTCCAAAAATGACCCAAAAAGGACCCCACGAGTGCCCAAGAGGCATCCAAAACGACCCCAAGACGGCTGAACCCGAGACGACCTCAGAAGGCCCTTCGACTGCCCAAGACGGCACCAAGACGGAACACGACGGCGCCCAGACACCCACAATACGGCCAAGAGGGCCCCGAGACCGCCCAAGAAAGCCCCCAGACCGCCTAAGATGGCCCCAAGACAGCCAAAGAGGGTCCAAAGGGGACCCCTAAGACTGCCTCTGAGGAAGCAAATACAGCCTCAAAGCGGCCGAAACGAGTTCCACGAGAGCTCCTGAAATAGTGAAGACGAAAGGTCTCACCTGTGACGCCTTCCTGTTGTTCTTCCTCCTCCTCCTCCTCATCCTCCTCCTCCTCCTCATCCTCCTCACCTTCTTATCATCATCATCATCATCATCATCATCATCATCATCATCATCATCATCATCATCATCATCATCATCATCATCAGCATCATCATCATCATCATCAGCAGCAGCAGCAGCGTCATCATCAGCATCAGCATCAACCACATCATCACCACCGTCACCATCACCATCACCATGACCATCATCATCATCATCATCATCATCATCATCATCATCAGCATCATCATCATCATCATCATCATCATGGACATCATCATCAGCAGCAGCATTGCCAGCATCATCAGCATCATCATCAGCAGCAGCATCAGCGTCATCAGCATCATCATCATCATCATCATCATCATCATCATCACCATCATCATTATCATCAGCAGCATTCTCAGCATCATCATCAGCAGCAACATCAGCGTCATCATCATCATCATCAGCAGCAGCATCATCATCAGCATCATCATCACCACCACCACACTGACCATCACCATCACCAGCGTCATCATTATCAGCATAATAAACACAATCAGCATCGTCACTATCATCAGTATCATCAGTATCATCAGCATCATCATCATCATCATCGTCATCATCATCAGCGTCATCATCATCAGCAGCAGCACCGTCATCGTAATCATCAGCATCATCATTGTCATCGTCATCGTCAGCGTCAGCGTCATCGTCATCATCATCATCTGCATCATCATCATCATCATCATCATCATCATCATCATCATCACAATCCTCATCCTGAGCCTCATCCTCATCATCATAATCAGAATCATAATCAGCATCATCATCATCATCATAATCAGCATCATCATCACAAGAATCTTCAGCAGCAGCACAAGCAGCAGGAGCATCATCAGCATCGACATCATCGTCATCAGCAGCAGCATCACCATAATCATAAACATAATCATCATCATCGTCAGCATCATCATCAGCATCAGCATCAGCATCATCATCATCCTCGTCATCCTCATCCTCATCCTCATCCTCATCCTCATCATCCTCGTCATCATCATCATCATCATCATCATCATCATCAGCATCAGCATCAGCATCAGCATCATCATCATCATACCCATCCTCATCCTCATACTCATCCTCACCCTTATCCTCATCCTCATCCTCACCCTCATCCTCATCCTCATCCTCAGCCTCAGCCTCAGCCTCAGCCTCATTCTCATCCTCATCCTCATCCTCATCCTCAGCCTCATCCTCATCCTCGTCGTCGTAGGCAGCAGCATCATCAGCAGCAGCAGCAGCATCCTCATCACGGCCGCCCGAAGCCTGGAGACACGCCTGGAGGAACCCGGCGCCACGCGCGGCGGCCTCCCGTGCCCCCTCGAGCGGCCGCCACCCGGAGTGCTGGGCGGGCGCGGTGGCAGGACGACTTGCCGCAGGCAGCCAGACTCAGACCCCCACGGGCAACGAAAGAGTCATGACGGCAGGTTTTCCCACATGTTCGGCCTCTCGACGCCCTTGCCGGGCATCCTCGGGACCGTCATCAAAAGCGGCTCGGGAGGAGAAACGGGCCCTGGGGAGTGGGTCGAGACCTCTGGAAGCCGACGCTAGGAAAAAATCAGGACGTCGCATGTCTGGGGAGGTCCTTCTCTGCTAGTTAATGAAAGCTGTGCGCGTCCCGCTTAGCTTCCAGCGGAAGAGGTTCGCTCTCGCCCCGCAGATCAAAAAAATGTCTGGAGAGGTCCCCAGCGAGGAGCTTGTGCTGGAAGATCTGCCCCCCCGTGGCCAGGTCCCACAGCCGCACCGAGCAGTCCCGGGAGCCGGTGAACAGCAGGGCCTCGGGGGCGGACTCCTCGCCGAGGGTGTCCAGCGCGCTCACGGACATGCCGTGGCCCTGGAAGGCCAGCGCGGGCGTGGCGACCGCGTCGGCGGCCGCGCCGCTGCCCGGCGTGGCGGCGAAGCCTGCCTCGGGGGAGGCCAAAAGGTACCGATACTGCTACAGGGCAGTTTTTATACATAGGATGTTTCAACAGATCGGATTTTTAGTACATGACCAATGTATGAATGAATGCATGCATGAACACATCGTTGTTTTTAGTACTAAATCCCTGCATTTTGAATACATGATCCGCACAGGGGAGCATGTATCAAAAACGGCACTGCTACTCTCTGGCCCTCTCCTGGGGTGCGTTCTGGCAGGGATTGCGGGGCGGATCCAGCGATGGGCGACGCGGGCCGCCCGGTAGAGGCCCGAAGAGGGGAGAACGAGCGCGAAGGGCAGAGGTAGGGGTACCCAGACCCCCGACGTCAGGATTTTGTTCAGAGCGTCGACCCTGAGAGTGAAGGGGCCCCAGGACACACAAACAAATACACACAAATAAAAATATTCCCCATACCGCATAGACCACCCTTCGGGTGATAAGGAGGCGAGGGGGGGGGGACCACCGTCGCACTCAATCGATCTCACTATCGATCTCGCTATCGATCTCATTATCGATCTCATTCGATCAATATCACAATCGATCTGGCTATCGATCTCACACTCGATCTCACTAACGATCTCACTATCGATATCACAATCGATCTCACAATAGATCTCAGAATCGATCTGGCCATCGATCTCACGACCGATCTCACATTCGGTCTCACGATCGATCTCACTACCGATATCACTATCGATCTCATTCGATCGATCTCACAATCGATCTCACAATCGATCTCACATTCGGTCTCACTATCGATCTCATTATCGATATCACAATCGATCTCACAATCGATCTCACAATCGATCTGACTATCGATCTCACTATCGAACTCACTATCGAAGTCATGATCGACCTCTCGTTCGATCTCACTATCGATCTCACTATCGATACCACAATCAATATCACAATCGATCTCACATTCGGTCCCACTATCGATCTCACTATCGAACTCACTATCGATCTCACTATCGATCTCACATTGGGTCTCACTATCGACCTCACTATCGATATCGCAATCCATCTCACAATCGATCTCACATTCGGTCTCACTATCGATCTCACTACCGAACTCACCATCATCACCACCATCATCATCACCATCATCATCGTTGTCAACATCATCATCATCATCATCGTCATCATCATCATCATCATCATCATCATCATCATCATCATCATCATCATCATCATCATCATCATCATCATCATCATCATCATCATCATCATCATCATCATCATCATCACCGACGGGACACCGACGGGACACCGGCGGGACACCGCGGGGCCCCGGCCGCCCGGAAGGGAACATTTGGTCCGGCCGCGCCTCAGCCACACGGGACACCAGCGGGACACCGGCGGGACACCGCGGGGCCCCGGCCGCCCGGAAGGGAATCATTTGGTCCGGCCGCGCCTCAGCCACAGGAGACTTTCTCTCGCCCGCCCACGCAGCTTCGCCTCGCCCGCACGCACGGTAGGGGGGCTCTCCGTTCCACTTCGATCTCACCCCCTCACCTCCGATTTTCCCATATTTTCTGGGTTTTTGTCTTCCCGCCCAAATCCCATATTTTCCCATATTTTCCTGGGAATCGACGATTAATTGTGTCTGTGTGTTTTTTCCCCTCCTGAGAGAGGTCTCGACCCATTCCCTGGGACCGGCTTGTCCTCCTGAGCTGCTTTTTCGGCGGTCCTGAGGGCCGGCAAGGGCCCCTCGGCACCCCGAGTGGCGAAAAACCTCCCGCCATGATTCGTTGCCCGAGGGGGTCTGGGATGGGTACCCAGACATGCGACGTCCTGATTTTTTCAGGACGGCGTCCCTGGAAGTCCAGACCCTTTCCCCAGGGCCGGTTTTTCGTCCTGACTCGTTTTCTGACGGTCCCGAGGCCCGGCGAGGGCCCCCAGGGGCCGAAAATAGCGAAAAACCTCCCGTCCTGATTTTTTTACGACGCCATCATGTCTGGGTACCTTGTGCTCCTCGGAGCCTCGTCCCAGAGGCAGACCGTCCCATCCGCAGACGCGCCCATCGGAGGAGGGCCAGCCCGGACGTGGAGCAGGGACCGACCGCCCCGGCATTCCTATAATATAGGCCTACCACGAAGGTCTCTCAGAGCCCGGAAGTGTTCTACGAACAACAACAGTGTTCTTAGAACATTAGCCCGACGAAGGTTTCTCAGAACCCAGAAGTGTTCTAAGAACAACATTAGTCAGCGGGGCAGAAACGGGGCAGCCCGGCGTGTTGAAACGGGGCAGCCCGGCGTGTTGAAACGGGGCAGCCCCAGCCAGAAATGTTCCAAGAGCAGCTCGTGGGAACCCCAACAGGTTCTTGGAGCATCATCTGCTAGACCTATAGCCCAGACCCCCGAGGTCATGACTTGTTCACGACGCCGGTCCTGACAGGTCTCGGCCCACTCCCCAGGGGCCGGCTTCTCGTCCCAGGTCGTTTTGTTGACGGTCCCGAGGGCGGGGGAGGGCCTCCCGAGGCCGAAGGGAAGGAAAAACCTCCCGTCACGATGCTTTCATTGCCCGAGGTCGGAGGGCACCAACTATACACCAACACCGATCCTGGCCCAGGATCACCCTGGGCCCAGGATCGGTGTATATGCCTTCTTGCGCAAGGCAGGAGGGCGTATACACCGATCCTGGGCCCAGGGTGATCCTGGCCAGGATCGGTGTTGGTGTATAGTTGGTGCCTTCCTACGAGGGGGTCTGGGCGGCGAGCCAGGACGCTTCGCCGCTGCTTGGCAGACGACGCCGGCCCTCGCCGGCGGGCGTGCTCCTATTCGCTTGGCCTGCGGCGGCCTCCCGGGGAGGCTCCCCCCCTCGCTACACGGCTGGATCCGCCTCGAAGAGCGGGCCGAAGGGGCCCCGGGGCCCTTGGGACAGGGAGGAGGGAGGAGGGAGGAGGGAGGCAGAGGGGGAGCAGGAGGAGGAGGAGGAGGAGGAGAGGGAGGAGGGGGCGGAGGGGGCGGAGGGAGAAAGGGGGGGAGGGAGGAGGAGGGAGGAAGGGGGAGGGGGGAGGATCGAGGGAGGAGGGAGGAGGGAGGAGGAAGGGGGCGCCTGGGGACCGCTTTTGAGCGGACAGTTCGAGCCGGCCGGGAGAGGGTCGGTAACGGCTGCTCCGCCGGCCCCCCCTCCGAGCTCAGGAGCCGGGCGGACCCCAGCGGCACGAGCCTGTTCACCGCCTTCCGGTGCGCCCTGAACTTGCCCCTCGCGGAGGGGAACCCAGACATGATCGCGTCGTGAAAAAACCAGGACGCGGCCCCCAGGGGCCCTCGCTGGGCCCCGGGACCGTCAGAAAACGACTCGGGACGAAAAGCCGGTCCCGGGGAAAGGGTCGGGACTTCCAGGGACGCCGTCCTGAAAAAATCAGGACGTCGCATGCCTGGGGAAGGGAAACGAGGACCCCAGAGATCCGGGGGCATGATTTCTTCAATCTGGCGGTCTGTCCTGGACTTCGGCCTTCTTTCTGCGCCCGTTCTCGGGCCCGGGGTCCATCCGAAACGGATCCGGGACGAGAAAGCACCCCTCGGGAAGGGGTCGGGACCTCTGGGCAGGTGGCCCAGGGGATGGGCCTGTCCCTCGCCTCGAGCTCTCGAGCGCTCGCCCCTCCTCCTCCTCCTCCTCCGCCTCCTCCTCGTCCTCCTCCTGCTCCTCCGCCTCCTCCTCGTCCTCCTCCTGCTCCTCCTCGCAACTTCCTCAAGAGAACCAGCGGCCGTGGCCAAGAGGACGGGCCTGTCCCTCGCCTCGAGCTCTCGAGCGCTCGCTCCTCCTCCTCCTCCTCCACCTCCTCGTCGTCCTCCTCCTTCTCCTCCTCGCGACCTCCTCCTCCCGGGGGCGTGCTGAAAGGTGTCCATGGCCCAAGGTGCCCCCAGCGCTTCGCTCCACTCTGGAGCCCCTGGGGTCCCCTGGGCCTCGTGAGGGGTGCTCTGGAGGCCGTGGGGGCCACGACCGAGCGCGGGACCACCCGTGTGGTGTGGATCTCGGGCGCCGTCGACCTTGCGACGGCGGCGGGCCGAGGACCATGACCAAGACAACGACTGCCTACCAGACCACCACCAACCCAACCCGTAGTCCCAAATTTCGGGTGCGGCGGGTACGGGCGGGGTCCATACGGGTTTTTGTTCCAGTGTTGCCAGACGCCCCCCCACACTAGGAACGGAGGGAAAATTGAGGCCTTCGGGTTGGGTCGGGGTGGTTCGGTGGGTGGTGCAGACAGGCGCGACGTCTGGGCGGTGGCAGGCGTGCTTCTCTTCCCACGACCTCAGGCCCACGCGGGTCCAGTCGTAGAGGTACGCCCCCAGACCTCTGGCGCGACGTTGCCTCTTCGATAACACGCGGCCCTTCAAGCTCTCCCGGCCGGGCTCCCCCAAGGTCAAGCAGTGGCGAAGCGTTCTGGCTTGCCTATAGGCCCACTAGAGAATGTTCTGAGGACCTTGTGGTCTGCACGAACTGCTCTCCGAACAGTTCTGGTCCAACCTGCCCTGTTTTAACACATCGGGCTCATGCTAGAAGCCATTTTTTTGAGCAGGGACCGACCGTCCCAGTATTCAGATCGGCCTACCACGAAATGCTCTTAGAACCCAAACATGTTCTAAGAGGCCTACCACGGAATGTTCTTAGAACCCAGAAATGTTCTGAGTACAAAAACAAGTTCTTAGAAAACAAACCCAGTGTGGAAAAAAACAGACAGTCTCGGCCAGAAATGTTGGAATCACAGTCCGTAAAAACCACCAAAGTGTCTTAGAGTATTGTTTGGTGGGCCTGTAACGCCAGGACGCTTCGCCACTGCTTGACTGTTGTTGGTTTTATTCGGACGCGCGAAATGGTACGGAAAAAATGGTAAATACAATGCCCAACAACAAATGCTTTCCCAAACCAACAGCGGCCACTGTTGGGCAGGCGGCCTTCTGTCTCAAATAGGCACAGGCCGCAGCGGCGCGGACAGCGAGGCCTGTTCAAAATGAACAGAAACAGCTGTTGGGCATTGTACCCATTCTTTCCGTCCCCATGTCGTTCGTGCCGAGCCCAGCAGGAGGAGGGGGAGAGGTGAGGAAGGAAGAAGAGGAGGAGGAGGAAGAGGAGGAGGGGGAGGAGGAGGAGGAGGAGGAGGAGGAGAAGGGGGAGAGGGAGGAGAAGGAGGAGGAAGGAGGAGGAGGAGGAGGAGGGGAAAGAGGAGGAGGAGCACTCGTGCCGATTCTGAGAGCATGTCGTGGTCCACTCCCGGCCCGGCTCCCGCGAGAGGGGGGGGCCGGGCGGCTCCCGCCCGAAGGGCCCGCCACGCCGGACTGCCCCGAGGCACACACCGGGCGCCCGCCGGAGGCCGGAGGCCGAAGACGAATCGGGGAGCAGAACGCGGAGGAGGAGGAGGGGAAGGAGGAGGGAGGGGAAGGAGGAGGAGGAGGAGGAGGAGGAGGAGGAGGAGGGAGGAGGAGGGGAAGGAGCAGGAGGGGAAGGATGAGGAGGAGGAGGAGGAGGAGGAGGAGGAGGAGGAGGGAGGGGGGAAGGAGAGGAGGGGGAGGAGGGGGGAGGGGAAAGGAGAGGAGGAGGAGGAGAAGGAGGAGGAGGGAGAGGAGGAGGAGGGGAAGGAGCAGGGAGGGGAAGGATGAGGAGGAGGAGGAGGAGGAGGAGGGGAAGGAGGAGGAGGGGAAGGAGGAGGGAGGGGAATGAGGAGGAGGAGGAGGAGGAGATTCCCCATCGAGAGCCGAGTGGGAGGGGGGCGGTCCTCAAATTCAAGACCCCATCGCGGTTACATGTGCCTTTTCCTGGTCCTCCCTGGGCATCCCGCCCTGCGGCTTCGACGCATGACGACTGCACGCCGCGGCCGCTGAAGGCCCCACTGGGGGCCCCGGCGCTCTCTGGGCACCCCTCGCCCCGCGCTCTCGGGCGGGGGTCGGGATCGCTCGAAGCGGAACAACTTGAGTCCCAGAGTGGGGCGCACAAGAACATACTAGTGCTCTATGTCCTCCTTTTGTAGGCGTGCGCCCGACCCGAACATGTGGTATGCCCAGCTTGTTGTAGAATATTTCCCGAGCGGTATGGCCAGAAAGCGCCCGCCGCGGAGCTTCTACTACAAGATTTCTCGGCGCGCGCGTCGCCCCTTGGGGGGGCGACGCACACATAGTATTGGCATGTTGGGGTGACGCCTATGGAGAGGTCCGAAGAGGCGCTGGCTTCCAAGGCCCCTGGCATCACTTTCTGCTTGCCATGTCGACCCCCCGAGTTGGGGGGGCGGAAAGATACGGATACGTGTTGTCCCCGGACCTCTCTTGGGGTGCGTTCTGACCAGAATTTCGAGGCGAATCCAGCGGTGACAACGAGGATTCCCCAGGAGGACCAGGAAAGGCCGAAAACGAAGGGGGACGACACGTATCCGTATCTTTTTCTCCCCCGACCGAGGTCTCGACCCTTTCCCCAGGACCGGCTCTTCATCCTGGGCTGTTCTGGTGACGGTCCCGGGGCGAGGGCCCCCAGAGGCCGAAAATCAGAAGAGCTCCCCGTGGTGTCTCTGGGAGACGCAAGCCTCGGGTGTGGGGAACTCGGGTTGGCATGACGTTACCGCCAAGAAAGCGAGCGAAACCAGGTCGGAAAATGGGCGCGAACTCCCGCTGCAGACATCCCATAACACTGGACCGTCAGAATCCAGGACGGGCCCATGCCAAACACGCAGGAAAACCAACTTCTGGCGCACTCGAGTCTCAGAGAGCGTCTTCTTTCGTCTCGCGATAACGGCCGTTACCGGCCCTGGCCGCCCCCCTCCCGAGACGACGACACGATCCGTGCTGACCTCCGAAGTGCCGTTGGTCATTCGCAGACATTCCTAAACGGCGCAACCGCGAAACGTGACGTTGCTCGAGGCCTATTAGATGAGACCCAAGTAGATGGGGTCGAAGGACCGAACCGCATCGCAAATGCATCGGCGATGCATCGGCGATGTATTGGCGATGCCGTGGCGACGTCGGCGATGCGTCGGCGACGTCGTCCTGGAAAATCGGGCTCCAGAGATGCGGCGCGATCCTCCGACCCCATCTAGCCCAACTCCATCTATTCAGGGGCCCTGGGACACACAAATAAATACACACAAATCTGGGGAAACATCATTGCCCGCGCCATGATATCCCCCCCCTCATCATCACCCCATCACCCGCATCCTTGCCGCACCCGACCTGTGCCTATCCCCCCCTGTCGCTGCCCCCGACCACTGCATCGCCGCGGAATAAAGCGCTCTCCCGCGCTTCCACGAGGGGCCGTCCACGGCGCGGGGGGGAGGAGGAGGGGGAGGTGAGGAAGGAAGAAGAGGAGGAGGAGGAGGAGGAAGAGGAAGAGGGGGAGGAGGAGGAGGAGGAGGAGGAGGAGGAGGAGGAGAAGGAGGAGGAGAAGGAGGAGGAGGAGGGCGGAGGAGGGAGAGGAGGAGGAGGGGAAGGAGGAGGGAGGGGAAGAAGGAGGAGGAGGAGGAGGAGGAGAGGGAGGAGGAAGGGGGGGTCCGTGCTATAGCGAAGCGCCCCCCGGGCGCCCGAGGTCTGGGGGTTACAGCCAGCCCTCCGTGCCGCCGGCCGCGAAGCGCTCGCCCCCGAGCGGACAGACGCAGGGCACCACGTCATCGGAGGGCGCCTCGGGCGGGACGCACAGAGAGAGACATACGAATACTACAGTCAAAACGTGTATTAGGGACGGGTGGTAAGGACGCAAGACCCTGGGAGGCCGAAGTTGGGTTTTTTAGGGCGGCGGGCGACCAGTGGTAATGGCAAGGACGGGCCTCAGAGGCAAGGACACAAGGGTACCCTAGATGAAGGCGCGCGTCCTTACTAGGCGCGTTGACTGTATGTCCTCCTTGGAGGCGCGCGTCCGACCCGAGCATGTAGTATACCCATCTTGCAGTATACCGTTTCGCGAGCGGTGTGGCCAGAAAGCGGTGACCGCCACGACGCATATTCTATAAGATTTCTCGGTGCGCGTGTCGCCCCTGCGAGGGAACCACATACATAGTAGAAGTATGTTGGGGTGACGCCGATCGGGTTGGACAAGCGCGCTCCGCGGCTCGCAGAGTGGCGACTCGCAAGTGACCTGGATTCTCGCCGCGGGGGGGGTACGATGCACCCCAACACATAGGAAAGCACCTGTGTTCTCGCACGTCTGCGAGTAGGCACACTGCGAGAGCAGTGGAGCGCGCCCGGGGACTGATGGATGGGCCAAGGCCCCGGGCCAGCAGCGATTTTGCTTGACGGTGATGTTGAGTAGCAAATCGTAGGGAATCACGAACCAAACGTTCACACGTTTCCAGTCTGCGAAGGGATCAAGCGAACACGGCACGGCGAATTGCAGGAAAGCGCGAGCAAGGCGCTCCCACACTACCAGAACCTACTTCGCTGTTACCTACATCGCCGTTAGCCCGTCTAAGGATAGAGGCCTGGAAACGAGCACCAACACCAACACAGGGAGTTGTCTCCACCAGGGGAAGATGATCCTGGATGTTGGTGCTGGCGGTGACCATTCGGCCACCTAGAAGCTCGAATAGTGCCACCATCACCGAGATCGGGATCATCTTTCCTCGGTGGAGGCACACCGCCGATATTGGTGTTTGTGTCAACCTCTAGGCCTCCGAGATAGGCCGCCCCCCCAGATCATGGGCAACGTTAGGGGCTGGCGTTGGAAAGACAGCGCGCCACGTCGATCTCCGAAAAGCACGCTGTCCCCATGAGGCGATCCCCCCCTCCCCCGTGGGGGCTCCTTCTGTGCACGCTGTCCCCCTTCCAGGGCGTCTTCGGTGCACGCCATCCCCAAGGTGGAGGACAGCATGAACGTCCAGGGTCGCTAGGGACTGCTTTCCTTTCGAAGCAGCCGAAGCCCTCCCGAAACTCTCCGAAAACCCTCCAGGAAGGATTCCCAGAGGCTTGTCAGAGGGTTTCGGGAGGGTCTTGAAGGGTTCTCGTCGTTTGGGGGGGAAACCAGTCCCAAGCGAACCTTGGTTTCTCTAAGGATAGCGTGAGATAAACGAGCCAGCGGCGCCGCATCGCACGACATCTCTCCGACGCCAACCCTCAGGAGCTGGAGGCGGCCGGGGGTCTGCGCTGGATGGGCCCCGAGAAAAAATCAATCCAGGGGGAGGGGTGAGGCCCAATCCTCCTCCGCGTCCGCCTCCTCCGCCTCCTCCGCCTCCTCCTCCTCCTCCTCCTCCTCCTCCTCCTCCTCCTCCTCCTCCTCATCCGCCTCCGCCTCCCTCCCTTCCAATCCTCTTCCGCCCCCCCCTCTGCCGCTGCCTCCTCCGCTCCTCCGCCTCCGCCCTCCCCTCCGCCTCCTCCTCTCCTCCTCCTCCTCCTCCTCCTCCTCCTCCTCCTCTCCTCCGCCTTCCTCCCCTTCCTCCTCCTCCTCCTCCTCCACCTCCTCACTCCTGCCTCCTCCCTGAGACTCCTCTCCATCCTACTCCTCCTCTCCTCCTCCTCCTCCTCTCCTTCCCTCCCTCCTCCTCTCCTCCTCCTCCTCCTCCTCCTCCTCCTCCTCCTCCTCCCCTCCTCCTCCCTCCTCCTCCTCCTCCTCCCCTCTCCTCCTCCTCCTCCAGGGGGAGGGGGGAGGCCCGATCCGCTCAAGAACGGTGCCCTGTCTCCTCCTTGGGTCCAAACACACCAAGTCATCGAGACGCGTCCAGCCGTACGACGAAAAGCCCCATGAGGTCCGAGAAGAACGGGAAAAGGCCCCGTTCCCACCCCCTCAGCCGGCCAGAATCAGTGAGAGGCCACCTCAGACCCCCAGCCGACTCCAAGGCAGGCCAGGAGGGGCCGAAGACCCACAAAATGGTCAAACATAGTCAAAGAATCGTCCCCAGACTATTTTTTTACCATTTGGGAATCTTCCTCCTGTAGAGGAACAGGCCCGACGGAACCCTGTCGGCGATCCATGGCCGATCGGGGGTCGATGCACTCCCCTCCTGAGCCGATCCTCCCCTGTCGTTAACCCTCCTCGCCTAACCCTCGGGTCCCAAGTGGGCCCCCCGGCGGCCGCCTGGGGCGACCTGGGCACCCCCCCCCCGAAGAGCCAGCTACTCGGCGAGGCGCAGGCCGCGCAAGGAAGGAATCGCGACGCCGGAACGCCGCCGAAAACGAGCGAAAACATCCCGAGATCTCAAGCGCTGCCCCTGGGCGAAGGGCCTCGATATGAAGGGGCCCTGGGACACACACACACACACACACACACACACACACATAAGTACACACACACAAATAGAAGGAGTCCCCATATCTGCCCATATGTTCGGGGTTTCCGTCTGCCCCCCCACTTCCCACAGTTTCCCATGTTTGCTGGGAATCGCCGATTCATTGTGTCTGTGTTTTTTCCCCTCCTGACGAGAGGCGAGCAGTGTGCGATCTGGGGGCCGATGCATCCCCCCCTGAGCCGAGCCCCCCCCTCGAGCGTTGCCCCCGACGAAGGGGAGGCCGCCGCAGGCGGGGAGGGGCGGGCCACACATCTGCCGCAGAGATGGCACCTCGGCGGACCCCCTCGGCCCGGAACCAGCAGGGAAGAGGCATCGCCGATGCGGATCTTCCCAGCCGAGCGACGATCAAAAACGGGTCTCAAGCGGGCCGCTTGCGCGACACGCCACACTGGAGACGAGGGCGCTGATGCGCGCAACCTTACGCGGGCAGCTTACGCGAGAATGTCGGCGCAGACGACCCTGAGGTTCTGCGTCGCTCACTTTGTTCCGGGCAGAGGGGGTTTCGTAATGGAGTCGCCAAGAGATGTGCAAGTCAAATAATCCTGTGGTTCATGGAGCGTGGCCCCTCTCACGGACCAGCGATGCCAGGTGCAGCACACTCTGCCCGCATCCAGCACGATTCAGCACGAACGATGGCACGAACTATTGCGTACAGCTTCGAGACCCTGTTGCAAAGGACCCATTCGCCCGAATCTGACCCACATCTCCGACGGTCTTCTTTCTGTCCCTCCCGGCGTTTCTGGACGGTTTCCTCCGGAACCGCAGGCGACCCGAGGAGGGGAGGGCGAGGAGCGAGAGGAGGAGGAGGAGGAGGAGGAGGAGGTGGAGGAGGAGGAGAAGGAGGAGGGGGAGGAGATGGAGGGCCGGACCACCTCTTGCGCGGCATCTCGGAGCCCAGAGATTCGAGGAGGTCTCAGGCGAAATGGGCTGGACCACCTCTTCCGCGGCATCTCAGAACTCAAAGTTGCGAGGATGTCTCAGGCGAAACGCGCAGGACCACCTCGCGCACGGCATCTCAAAGCTCCGGACCACCTCTCGCGCGGCATCTGGGGGCTCTGAGTTTGGAGGATGTCTCAGGCGAAACGGGCCGGACCACCTCTCGCGCGGCATCTGGGAACTCAAAGTTTCGAGAACGTCTCAGGCGAAACGGGCCAGACCACCTCTTGCGCGGCATTTGGGAACTCAGAATTTGGAGGATGTCTCACGCGAAACGCCCAATCCCGGACAACTCAGAAACGAGAGTTGCGAGGATGTCTCAGGCGAAACGGCCCAGACCACCAAATTTGTTTGAGGGCGTCTCTGCTTTGAACTCTCTCGGCCAGAGTTAGCTTCTGTCACAACAGCACCCCGTTCAGCAAGCTGCTTGGGGAACCCCTCATGTTTTGATGCTGATGTTGTTGTTGTTGTTCGTTCCCCTCGAGGGGGCCTGGGATCGGAGGAGGCGAAGGAGGGGGAGGAGGAGGAGGGGGAGGGGGAGGAGGACAAGCTAGGTGCGCTCGCGTCATATCTGACGTCCTACCCCTCCCTCCCATCCCTTACCCTGGCGCCGATTTTTTCTATCCGCGGACGCGTGTCGTAGCGGACCTGTGGCTCCGCGCGCGCGTGCGTAGTGCGTGGTGTGGGTGTGCACGTGCGTGCGTGCGTGCGTGTGTGCGTGGTTGTCGTGGTGGTGGTGGTGGTGTGTGTGGGGTGTTGGTGGTGGTGGTGTGGTAGGTGGTTGGTGTGGTGGTGGTGGTGGTGGGTGGTGGTGGTGGTGCTGGTGTGGGTGGTGTTTACTTGGTTGGTGTGGTTTGGGTGGTGGTGGTGGTGGTGGTGGTTGTGGTGGTGGTGGTGGTGGTGGTGGTGGCGGTGCGGCGCGGTGGTGGCGGGCGGATGGGCGCGCGAGAAAAAGGCCCGCGCTGGGGCGAGAACGCCATCCTGAACGACGGAGGCCAAACACCGATCCGAAAATGAGGCCCACGCTGCAGCGGGAGCACGATTCGGAACGATTCGGGAGCAGAAATGAGGCCGGCGCCTCAACGAGAGCAGCATTTTGGGAAAAAATGACGCCGGCGCCTCAGCGAGAGTCGTTTCCCGGGATTTCCCGGGCATCCTGTGTGTAAAAAACAGTACGCGGAGGGTGCGCGGCCATCACCCGGACGCCATCAGGGGAGGAGGGAGAGTATATTCATATTGAGTAATTGTGGAGGAGGAGGAGGAGGAGGAGCAGGAGGAGGAGGAGGAGGAGGCGGAGGAGGAAGGGGGAGGCGGGATCGGGTCGAGACCGGATCGGGGGGGCCCGGCATCGCGCCGAGCTCGCACCGAGGATCGCGGGACCCGGAGGGCGGCGGGGGGCCCACCGCGCCTCGAGGCGCAGGGGAGCGCCCGGGCTGCCCGCCGCGGCCCCCGCGGCCCCGCCCTCGGCCGCGGCGTAGCCGGCGCCGCGGCCGCCGCCGGCCCCGCAGAGCCGCGCGCCCATGGCCCCCTGCCAGAAGCCCAGAGCCCCTCGCGGGCCATGGAAGGATCGTGGCGGGACACGCCTCGCGAGGTGCGGCCTCGGGAGGCCCTCGCCGGCCCCCCTCCCCGACGAACGAACAGCACACACACCCATACCCACAGGGGGGGCGTTGAGAGGAGGACCGGCTCTGGGCATGGGTGCGGATTGTCGTATCCTGGGGGGCGCTGCCCTTCGCGCGGGGACCCCCCTCCGACAACACGCGCCCATGGCCCGCTCCGTCCCACCTATGGATGGGTGCGTGCCGTTCGTTCGTCACTCCCAGAATCCCAGACCCCCTCGGGCAGTGGAAAAATCATGGCAGGACGTGTTTCGCGGTGTTCGGCCTCGGGAGGCCCTCGCCGGCCCTCGGGGCCGCCAGAAAGCGGCTCGGGACGAGGAGCCCGTCTCGGGGAAGGGGTCGAGACCTCCGGGGGTAGAGGTTATGAAAAAGTCACGGCGTCGGGGGTCTGGGTCCCGAGAGACCAGCGCGGACTGCGACGGGGCAGCCGAGATGTGCAAGGGATACACAGGGCGCTCGCGCCTCTTCCTCCTCCTCCTCCACCTCCTCCTCCTCCTCCTCCTCCTCCTCCTTCCTCCTCCTCCTGCACCTCCTCCTCCTCCTCCTCCTCTCTCCTCCTCCTCCTCCTCCTCTCTTCTGTTCCTTTTCCTTCCTTACTCCTCGTCCTCCTCCTCCTCCTCCCCCTCCTCCTCCTCCTCCTCCTCCTCCTCCTCCTCCTCCTCCTCATCCTCCTCATCATCATCCTCCTCGTCCTCCTCAAGCCAGGAGTTCATGGCCGACGGGGGCCCCTGCTCCCCCCCGGGCTCATCTAAGGGGATGGGGTGATATCAGTGGATGCAAGAGGACGTGAGATCTGGCCTAGCCTAGCTCACACGTGGGCGGCAAATGCCCCAAGGGGCGCAGGTGGGTCAGATCACGTGAACCCCCTAAGCCACTTAGGGCATGTGTAACCCACTGGTAAGCTGAGTGAGGCCAGATCCACAACCCATACTGGCATCCACTGATACGCCCATATCCCCTTAGCAACCCCCGCTCCCTTCCCGAGATACGGCGATGACATCTACGGCCAGGATCAGTCAGCATCGAATCAGGAAATCGGATCGGATCGGAGTGTGCGTCGAATCGGGCTGCGACGGCACGGGGTCGAAATCGGATCGAATCGGCCGCGCCGGGATGCACAACAGCGTCAAGCAAGCATCGGGCCGCTCGGCTTCTGTGGTAACTCGTGGGAACCGACGCCGCCCGACGCACATCGACGCTGATCGACACAAACTCAGCGCGAAGCGACGCCCAATCGGCTCTGTCTCACCGACGGCCAAGCGCGAGCGCACGCTAGTGTAAGGTCGGCGGGCATGCCCCCCTGCAGGCGGATTTGGAAGGGAAACACCCAGACTATGTTTTGACTATGTTTGAACATGTCTCCTATAGAGGACATGCCCGACGTAACGCTACTGCACTCCGGACGAACAAAAATCCCGAGGACCTGCGGTGCGCGCCCACGAGCTAGCTGCCTGGCCGGGGAGGCGAGCGCCCAGAACGAGGCCTGGCCAGGTGCAGCGGATCAGTCTAATCTTAAGAAAAATTGCACTCACACACACAGACACACTGGTTATCTTAGCACCGCGTAAAAAAAATGCCCGTGGGCGATTTCACGGAATGAGGCGTTTGGCGCCGCGCAAACAGCAAAAACAAGATCCGCCCACCCCAGGCTCGTGTTCAGAATCTAGTTCCACTCGCAGAGAACATTTGCACGAGCATCACGAACAGAGGGCGGAACGGTTTCAAAAGCTAGCTCTCTCCGCAGCGCCGCGCGCATTCGCTTGTGAACTGCGCACGAGTTTCACGCATTGAAAGCGGGCGGTTTTTGTGAATGTGGCTCTCGCCTTAGCGCCGCGGGCATTCGCTCTCAAAACTTCGCACGAGCTTCACGGATTGAGGGTGGCTCGGTTTCAGAACCTATCTATCATATATATACATATTAAAAAAAAAAATATATATATATATAATATATATATATAATATAATATTATATTTATAAAGAGCAAAAACTCTCGCCTCAGCGCCGCGCGCATTCGCTTTGAAAATTTGCGCGAACTTCACGGATATGTATCCCGCCTCAGCGCCGCGCACGTTCGTTTCTAGAAATGTATGTCATGGATTGACGGCGGGCACGAGTTTCAATTAATGAGGGCGGCTCGGTTTCAAGATGTAGTTCTCGCCTCATCGCCGCGCACAGTGGTATCCAATAAATGCACAAGATTATAAAAGTGAGGGCCGCTCGGCTTCAAAATCTAACTCTCGCCTCATCGCCGCACACATCGGATGTTTAAAATGTGCACGAGTTTCACGGATTGAAAGCGGCTCGGTTTCAAAATCTAGCTCTCGCATTAGTGCCGCGCACATCCGCTATGATCATTTGCACGAACCTCACGGGCGGATTGTGGTTTGGATTCACGATATGGTTCTCGCCCCACCGCCGCCCACATTCGCTATCAAACTTTCACGACCTTCGCGGATTGAGGGCGGCTCGGTTTCAAAATCTAGCTCCGCTTCAGCGCCGCGCACACTGGTTCTAAAAATGCGCACGAGCTTCACGGATTGAGGGTGGCTCGGTTTCAAAATGTAGTTTTCGCCCCATCGCCGCGTTCATTCTTGTTTTTTGAATGTGTACGAATTTCACGGATTGAAGGCGGCCGCTTTTTACATATAATTCTCGCCTTGGCGCCGCGCGCATTCGAATTTACAAATTTGCACAACCTTTCACGGATTGAGGGCGACTCGGTTTCAAAATATGGTTTTCGGCTCAGCGCCGCGCACATCCGCTATAAAAATTCACGGGTTGCACGGATTGACGCCGATTCGGTTTAAAAGTATGGTTCTCGCCTGAACGCCGCGCAATCGGTCGAAACATGCGCACCGAGCCCTGACAATCTAAGCACTGAAGATCTAAGTACTGGCTCGGCCCGAGAAATTCGAAGCACTGACATAGAACGAGAAAAATCTATTGACACAACGTGCGAATGATACGTTCCAGGGATCCCGGAATGTTTAACAACTTTCGCGCGGGGTACACTTTGCGTCGAATATTGTCTACTCTGGCTGGCGCCGCTGGTCGGTCACCCATTCGCAAGCGAGCGGTCGCCCGTAGGGGGCTATTTGGTACTTGCTGATCCCCCTTCTCGTTGCCGAGCGCGGGTGGGGCGGCGGCGCACCGTCCCATCGCCCGCCGCCGCGCACCGCGCGCCTCGGCGGATGTCCAAAGACCTAGTGTGGCAAATCACGCGCGACTCTGGAAAATTCTCCGGGGGTAAATTTGAAAAACTCCGGAAACGTTGTTGAACATGTCTGGCATACTTTTTGAATAATAGCAAAATCGATTTTGAAAACTTATGGAGTCGATTTTGAAAAATTCAGGAATCCATTTTGAAAAATTCCGGATTTCAGAATTATTCAGATGTCCTGCGCGGCGGGCGCACTCCACCCCTCAAAACAATAATTTGGAAACTTCCGGGCTCCTTTTTGAAAAATTCCAGAACCGCTTGCGCCGGAAAATCGGAGAGGTTCCCCGAAACATTCTACAATCCAGAAATAATTTCCGGGCGGTCCGACGGGCGCGGCCGGCTGATTCACGCACCGCGCCGCGCGCGATTGGGCGCAGCGCGCGCCGCCGTTGCGCCCGCGAACAGCAGTCGAATGGGGCCACCTCGAAAACAGCGCCACGGCAGCTGCGACTCGCGGACTCCCCAAGAGCAACACAGCATACAGCTTGGCATCTCCGAGAGCGCTCCGGTGCGCGAAAAATTCACCGCGCACATCGCGCAAAGAATCTGCGCGACGGAATGCGCTCGACCATTCGTCCCTGTAGCCCGCGCGGAAGAACAGGAAAACCCGGAAATCTTGATACTATCAATATCAATACTTCATGCTACTCTGATGACAACCGTTCGCCACCTCCGCCCCATGCCAAATATCGCGCCCGCCCCGCACGAAGCCATATCCCTAGCAACGCGAAACCGCGAAAATTCGCCGGCCCAACGGGCCAGAGCTCTGCCTAGGCGTGCTAAGATCTCCGGTAACTGGTTCACAATATTTCTAGTTCGCGCGCGCGGGGCGGCCCCTGGGGGTCCCCGGACGAAAAGTACCCCGGCAAGGTCCCGGGAGGAGCCACCAGCACTCCAGGGGAGGGCCACTTTTCGACACCCCCTATGAGGCCTCCAAGAGCCCCCCAAGACGCCCTGGGGGCCCCCAAGACGCCGCCAAGGAGCCCCAAGAGACTCCCAAGAGGGCCCCAAGAAGCAAAATTCATTGTTTGTTCGTGGTCTGGGGGAGATTTGGGCGTTTCCACCTTTTCGGCATCGCGACGCCCCAAGACGGCCCAAGAGGCCTCCAAGATCGCCCTAAGAGGCCCGAGAGGCCTCCGACAGGGCACCAAGACGGCCCAAGGGTTCCAAGAAGGCCCAAGAGGCCTGCAGGACGGCCCAAGAGGACCCCAAGAAGCCCCAGGAGGCCCCCAAAAGGCCCTCGAGATAGCCCCCAGACGCCCCACGAGGCTTTCAAGAGCACTCCCAAGAGGGCCCCAAGAGGCGAAATTCATAGTTTTTCCATATGTTTTGGGGAGATTTGGGCGTCTCCACCTTTTCGACATCGCGACGCCCCAAGACGGCCCAAGAGGCCCCCAAGATCGCCCTAAGAGGACCGAGAGGCCTCCGACAGGGCCCCAAGACGGCCCAAGAGGGTTCCAAGAAGGCCCAAGAGGCCTCCAAGACGGCCCAAGAGGGCCCCAAGAACGCTCTAAGAGAAGCCCCAGAGGGGGAACACGAAACAACATTTCGAGCCATCGGCCCGAAGAAGCCCCCAGGAGGCGACAAGCGGCCCCTGTCAAGCCCCAGAAGGCCCCCAAAAGGCCCTCGAGGTAGCCCCCAGACGCCCCACGAGGCTTTCAAGAGCACTCCCAAGAGGGCCCCAAGAGGCACAATTAAGTGGTGTTCCTTTGGTTTGGGGGAGATTTGGGCGTCTCCACCTTTTCGGCATCGCGGCGCCCCAAGACGGCCCAAGAGGCCCCCAAGATCGCCCTAAGAGGACCGAGAGGCCTCCGACAGGGCCCCAAGACGGCCCAAGAGGGTTCCAAGAAGGCCCAAGAGGCCTCCAAGACGGCCCAAGAGGGCCCCAAGAACGCTCTAAGAGAAGCCCCAGAGGAGGTACACGAAACAACATTTCGAGCCCTCGGCCCGAAGAAGCCCCCAGGAGGCGCCAAGCGGCCCCTTTCAAGCCCCAGGAGGCCCCCCCAAAAGGCCCTCACGAGGCCCCCAAGAAGCTCCCAAGCGGCTCCCAAGCGGCTCCCAGAAGCCCCAAGATGCTCCCAAATGCTCCCAAAGGAGCTCCAAGAAGCCCCAAAGAGGGGGTGAGAGAGAGGGGGGGGGGAAACGGTGGCAGGAGCGAGGGCGAAGCGGGCGAGGAGGGGGGCGAGGTGCGCGGCCGCGGCCGCGGCGACGTCTCTGGACACCACGACCGATGAGGCGCGGACTCGCGACGGCGCAGCGACGGCGCCCGACGAGGGACGAGGGACGACGACGACGACGACGACGACGACGACGACGACGACGACGACGACGACGACGACGGCGGCGACGACGACGACGACGACGACGACGACGACGACTGACGACAGGGATCGACGACGAAAGACGCCAGAGTCGACGACAACAACGACGCGACAACGACAACCGACAACCGACAACTGACAACCGACAACAAACAACCGAATTCCGACAACTGACAACCGACAACTGACAACTGACAACTGGCAACCGCAACCGACAACCGACGGACAACGACCGACGACGACGACGACTATGACGACGACGACGACTGACGACAGGACTACGACAAGGATCGGCGAACAAAGACGACAACAGAAACGACGACGATGATGAGCAACGACAACCAACAACCAACAACCCGCAACCTACAACCGTCAACCGAAAACACACAACAGACAACTGACAACGGGCAACCGACGGACAACGACCGACGACGATGACGACGACGACGACGAGAAAGAGCGATAATAACGAGGATGCGACGAACAAGGAGAGAAGGAACAACAAAAAGATGAGAAGAAGACGACGACGACGACGAACCGGTGCGGCAGCCTAACGCCAGGTGGGACTGTCAAGGGGGGGAAACATCGACCTGGAATCGACGACACATCTCGCCTATGAATTGAGCAGGGACCGACCGTCCCGGCATCTCTATAGGCCTACCACGAAATTTTCTCAGAACCCAGAAATGCCGCAAGCACAAAAACAGTGTTCTTAGAACGTGAGCCCGATGTGCTCAAACAGGACGGCCCCAGCAAGAAATGTTCTCCGAACATTTCGTAGAGACCACAAAAGGCTCTTAGAACACTCTTTGGTAGGCCTACACCCTGCGAAATGCTTAAGAAATCATGGGTTAAGAAATTCATAATCTCAGAACTTGAATAAAAAACCCAACATTTCTATTGAAATCTTAAGATTTACATTGAAACGTTAAGAATAATCGAGACTCTGGCCGAAAACTAAAGTTTTCTTAAGCATCGCCTAAGGTGTA